TGTGATAAAGACCAGACTGAGTGGTTATGATGACTGAATGGCGTGTTTATGGATAAATGAGACCTGCAGTTTGAGCTGATGGATCCTCGCGCTGCTTTCCGACACCGTCAGTATTAAAAGCATAAAACCGAACAGATTCATCATCATCATCCTCCTCATCACACTGCTTGTCAATCACCGATCTGTCAAAATGCGATCTGTCCGTCAAACGATGGACATGAGCTCATTTGATCGCCAGTTTGTTTCCAAACTCTTTCCAGCTACACCTTCACTTCCGGGACGCGTGAGCGCATACACGTCATCACCGACGGCTGCGGGGGCGCGCGGAGCGACACAGCGCTCTTTCTGGCGGGAGGACGTGCTCGCGCTCAAAGACTGATAAACCGCTGTTATAATATTTTTTTGTTTAATGTACGTACATGTGTTATACAATACGAAAGACATAAACACGGCTGCTGGTGGGCTCTGAAGGAGCGATCGCGTTTACCCTTAGCAAGTTTTCGCGGGTGAAATTAACCGTCGAAATCCAGTCATATCCCTGATGACTGCGCATGATTGTGTGCTGTAGTGAATCGATTCATATTTCATGACAAAACTTATCCTGATCATTTACTCTCATTGTCATCCAAGACTTTACTGTCTTTCTTAAGTCGAAATTCGGAATTTTGGGGGAAACATGCAGAGTTATCTCCATTTTGGTTGATTTTTATGGTGCTCAGTGGTTCCAACTTTTAACCCTGTGTTTTCATTCGGCTTTCAAAGGCTCACATTTATCCCAGATCAGGAATAAGTGTTCATTTATAACCTGGAAATGTGAGGTGGGTCAATTCGCCAATTAACTGACAGACAGACTCGGACACATGGCGTCCATTTTGCTGTTCTGACTGGAAAATTTATATCATTGCATAACAAATGATCACTAGTTAGTATCTCAACTTTGCATAGTGCAAAAGTGACAAAAGGACAGATGCTCTTACTGATAAAAAGATCTGCTGAAGATGCGTGACTCGACAATTTACTCAACAATTGTGCAACTTTTCAGTTTGTGCAAAGGATGAACAGTTTGGCAATGTTTAAGAAAAAGAAGTAGTCGGACATTTAAATATATTATTTTCTTCACTGAAGAACACAAGGCTGAACACAAACGGTGAGTTACAGTTTTATTGATTGACTTCTACAACAGAATATTGCAGGAAAATAACCAGAAACAGCAATAATCTGAGTTTTTTTGGGTTTGGTTTACAGAGATCTACTGAGAAGATGGCAGTAAGTTCACATTATAGAGTCTGTTTTTACTTCTGTCATGATGTCGGTGTGATTTGCTGATTATGAATGAGGCTGATGATCAGTGCTGTTTCTCTCTCTAGATGACGGTGTTCGTCGTGGCTCTGCTTTCTGTTTTCACGGCGTCTGTTGTCTCTGGGTTCAAGCCGTTCGACTGTTCTGAAATCTACAAATCAGGACAAACAGTCAGTGGGGTTTACTCCATCTATCCAGCCGGTGACACTCCTGTCTGGGTTTACTGTCAGATGATTTCAGATGGGAAAGATGAAGAGAATGGAGGATGGACGGTATGAAATATACATTTTAACAATTATAAATTATTTCAGACTTCTGAATTATAAATGCAACCCATTACAGGTGTTTCAGAGACGAATGGACGGCAGGATTAACTTCTATCAGCCATGGGAAGTGTACAAGAGAGGATTCGGGACCACCGAGGGCGAATACTGGCTGGGTGAGATCTTACATCCATCTGTGTGAATGTTAATGCGCAGTGTCTGGTTCAAGATGTTATTCATGTGTGTGTGTGAACAGGGCTGGAGAACCTCTACCAGCTGACACGCCACAAGAAGTTCATGCTGAGAGTGGATCTGGAGGACTTTGAAGGAAGGAAAGTTTTCGCTCAGTACTCGTCCTTCTCTGTGGGTTCTGAAGCTGAAGGGTATAAACTGCAGGTCTCTGGATTCACTGATGGAGGAGCAGGTACTGTACGACACTTTTAATAACATTCATGCTCTTGATTAAATGAACTGAATAATGATGCACTTTCAAATGTAAGATCACTGTAAGAATTCTCCAATTCTGTATGCTAGTAAGATGTTGATATCCTCAATGTTGTCTTCCTCACCGCAGGCGACTCTTTATCCGCCCATAATGATCGGAAGTTCAGCACTCTTGACAAAGACCAAGACCTCTATGAAAAGAACTGCGCCAGATATTTCCTTGGGGGATTTTGGTATACAGTAGGCTGTCACTATACAAACCCAAATGGGATGTATTTATGGGGAGAACACAACACACGTTACGCTATTGGAGTGGTTTGGTCAACCTGGAAGAATAGTTTCACTCTCAGCATGAAAACCTTCCTCATGAAGATCAAGCCTGTGTCTTAAAACCATTAGTTTTGCACAAACCCAACACACTGATTTCATTAGTGGACAAGAGTAAAAGTTTAAGATTTTACTTTCCTCAGTGTAACTAATGATGTTTCTGTTATCTGATTTACTCAAATCTTCAGAAACATTAAATAAAGTCATATACTGCATGCATTATTGTGTTGAATGTGTTTATTGAATCAGAAACACTACATGCATTTCAGAAAGTACACACATTTTACTCCTGCTCATCTCTGTGTCCTATTATTATTACAGGCCTGGTGCACTGACTGATTTTTTATTGATTATTTCTTGTCTTATTGTATAATAGGATCACAGTAAGACCACATGAAATCAATGATCAGACGGTCCAAGGTTTCTCAGGCTTTAACAGGCCAGGTGTTTCCCACACAAATATAAATATAAACATAAAGAAAAGTCATAATTCATGTGTTCATTCAAGTCTTTACTGTATACTTAAGACACATTTTCTCACAAGAAATAAGCAGAAAGGCTTTTTGCTCATTATGTAGATTATTGAGGTCAAGTGTTTATTTAAATTTTGCTCTAAAAATAATGAGCATGTCAACAATCTCCTGCTCACCTTTCTCCCGCAATCCAGGCTCAGAAACGTCACAGAATCTTTTTTTTTTTTATCTTTCTGACCCTTTTTCTCATAGTTGCAAACTGATATTTGGTACCTCAGATTTCTTTTCTCAAAATAATGTGATACATTTGGTTGTTAGGACAGAATTAAGGTGCACTTGTATTTGTGAGAAGTGGACAAAAATGACAGAATTACGAGAAGAATAAACCGTCAAGACATATAATTATTATTAAATGACATAAGCTTGCAATTTTCAGAAAGGTCACAGTCACCTGGATATATTTTATATTATAGTGGCAAATAAGGGTTTGTAGTGACGCTTTAGGACAAACAGAGTCATTATTAAAACATTTTTTTTAAGAAAGTAAGCAAAAGTCAGAGTCAAACAGACTACCATCAATTTCCTGAACACTTGCATCAGAGTTTGTTATTATGTAATTATTGCATAACACAGGAATAGGTACAAAATAAATGATTAACAGTCTCAATAAAGTATTCAGCGCTTGAAGGAGATCCACTTATCTGAACATCTGAACAAAATGGTGAGTTTAATTCTTGAGTTACAACACAGATAATTAATGCAATTGTTTTCACTTCTGTCATGATGTCGGTGTGATTTGCTGATTATGAATGAGGCTGATGATCAGTGCTGTTTCTCTCTCTAGATCACGGTGTTCGTCGTGGCTCTGCTTTCTGTTTTCACGATGTCTGTTGTCTCTGTTTGTGATGGATTCAAGCCGTTCGACTGTTCTGAAATATACAAATCAGGACAAACAGGCAGTGGGATTTACTCCATCTATCCAGCCGGCAACACTCCTGTCTGGGTTTACTGTCAGATGATTTCAGAAGGAAAAGTTCAAGACAATGGAGGATGGACGGTAAAACATAATTATAAAACATAATAAATGCTTTCAGCCTTCATTTTGATAAATGCAATCCATCACAGGTGTTTCAGAGACGATTGGATGGCAGGATTAACTTCTATCAGCCGTGGGAAGAGTACAAGAGAGGATTCGGGACCACCGAGGGGGAATACTGGCTGGGTGAGTCTCATTTTGGGTGGGGTCTGAACTTTAACTGGACACTTTTGTCAAAGTAAAAATGTATAAAACTCATTCCAGGATGCATTTTCTATTCATTAGCCTTAAACTGGAATGATAAACAACACATGTATAATTTACAGTTTAATAATACATTATTAATTGTGTAATAATGCAAGTTGTTTAAATGTAGGTATGTAATATGGCTTAAATGTACAGGTGCTGGTCATAATGAGAATATCTTCAAAAAGTTGATTTACTTTACTAATTCCAAACTTGTATAATGTACACATTTATTCCACACAGACTGTTCTATTTCAAGTGTTTATTTCTAGTACTTTTGATGACAGCTAATGAATCCAGAAAATTAGTATATTACCTAAAAACATTACAAAGAAAGGATTTTTAGAAATCTTGGCCAACTGAAAAGTATGAACATGAACAGTATGAGCATGCACAGCACTCAATAGTCAGTGTGGGCTCCTTTTGTCTGAATTGCTGCAGCAATGCGGCTTGTCATGGAGTGGATCAGTCTGTGTTCAGCACTGCTCAGGTTTTCTGAGAGCCCAGGTGGCTCTGATAGTGGCCTTCAGCTTCTCTGCATTGTTGGGTCTGGCATTCCGCATCTTCCTCTTCACGATAGCCCATAGATTTCCTGTGGGGTTAAGGTTAGGCGAGTTTACTGGCAAATTAAGAACAGAGATACCACGGTCCTTAAAGCAGGTACTGGTAGCTTTGGTACTGTGTGCAGGTGCCAAGTCCTGTTGGAAAATTAAATCCGCATCTCCATAAAGTTGGTCAGCAATGGGAAGCATGTAGTGCTCTAAAATGTCCTGGTATAGAGCTGTGTTGACCTTGGACCTCAGAAAACACAGTGGAGCAACACCAGCAGATGACATGGCAGCCCAAACCATCACTGACCGCAGAAACTTTACACTGGACATCAAGCAACGTGGATTGTGTGCCTCTCCTCTCTTCCTGACTCCAGCTGCAGTCCACTCTTTGTGAATTTCCTCCACATTTTTAAATGCGTTTTGTTTTACAGATCTCTCCAGGGCGCGGTCATGCCTATTGCTTGTACACTTTGTCCTACCACAATTAATGTGCTTGGACACAGATCTTCGTGAACCGCCGGCCTCTTTTGCAATGATCTTTTGTGTCTTGCCCTCCTTGTGTTCTTTTAGACAACTGTCAAATCAGCCATTTTACCCATGATTGTGTAGCCCACAGAACTAGAATGAGAGACCATTTAAAGGTCATTTGAGGTAATTGGCTGATTAGAGTGTGGCATAAGTTGTCTTGAAAACTGAACCTTTTCACAATTTTCTAATTTTTTGAGATACTGAATTTAGGGTTTTCATTAGTTGTCATCAAAATTAAAAGACATAAACACTTGACATATATCGTTCTGTGTGGAATGAATGTGTACATTATACCAGTGTCTCGAGCGTAATTAGGGAAGTAAATAAACTTTTTGAAGATATTCTAATTATAAGACCAGCACCTGTTTTTAAATAAATGAAGAGCTGTAGAAATCTTAATTTTTGTGAGTGAACTAACCATTGATGTTGTTATGAAGGGGAGTGACACAAACAACTGAGGTTTGGATCCAAATGCAGGTTTAATCGAAGTCAGGCAATCAATGGTCAACACAGGCCCAAACAGGTATATGGAGGCCGTCCAGAATCGTAGTCGAATAACAGGCAAGAGGTCAGAAGGCAGGCGGCAAACAAGGGTAAAAGGATAAACTAGGCTAACGTCAAAACACGGAGAAACAAGACAAGGAAAACGCGTTGTAATGTCATCTACAGATAAACGAGACTCGGCAAAGTGAATGGGTGTGTAGCTTAAATAGTGTGTGCAATCAGTCTCTGACAATCCTCAGGTGGTGCGAGTAATCAGTCTAGATGAGGAAGCATGTGTGAGTGTGACCAGAGTGCATGTATGAAAATGTAGTCCAGAAATGGCGGATTTGTAGTCCATTAGTATTATAAATGAGATCCAGCGATCTATTGAAATACGACCGCTGGTAATCGTGACAGATGTGTTTAAAGAAGGATTATGGGTAAAATACAGCAGTAAATAATGGCTGGAAACATTTGATTTCTCTCCTCATCACTACAAAAAAAATTTTACTTTTTTGTCTTGTTTTTAGTCCAAATGTTTAAAAATCCTTAATTAAAAAGCAATTCCTAATCAAACAAAAACTATCGTCTTGTTTTAAGAAATAATTTGCCAAAACTAAGTGAGTTTTTCAGTAACGAGTGACTAAAAATATCTATAATATATAATATGTTGCCTGTTCTGTTGTGTTATGTAGGCTTTTAGAAATAACTACGTTTTGAGTTCACCATGACAAACGTCCAATTGGGTTCAACATGTTCTTTGTGTGCGTGTGTGTGTGTGTGTGTGTGTGTGTGTGTGTGTGTGTGTGTGTTTGAACAGGGCTGGAGAACCTCTACCAGCTGACACGCCACAAGAACTACATGCTGAGAGTGGATCTGGAGGACTTTACTGGACGGAGAGGTTTCGCTCAGTACTCGTCCTTCTCTGTGGGTTCTGAAGCTGAAGGGTATAAACTGCAGATTTCTGGCTTCACTGATGGTGGAGCAGGTACAACACTTTCAATAATATTCATGAAAGTCATTCCTGTTGAATTAATGCACAAAGTAACATTGCTCTTCTCTGCAGGAGACTCGATGACCCACCACAATGGAATGAAGTTCAGCACCTATGACAAGGACCAAGACATCGATTCAAGGAATTGTGCCAGACTGCGGCTTGGAGCTTTTTGGTATCGAAACTGCTACTATGCAAATCCCAATGGTGTTTATATAGGTGGAGAAGACAGCACCATTTATGCAATTGGAGATGTTTGGTACAGCTGGAAGAACAACGCTAATTTTGGTATGAAACTCATCACCATGAAGATCAAACCTGTGTCTTAGATGTTTGAAGAGACAAGCAACAAAACAATGAAATTTAGCCGTAAGGGTTTACTTTGCTCTGTCAGCTGAGTCTGTGTGTACTTAAAATCTTTAAATTGTTTGTATTAGATCAATTATGCATCAACAATAAACTAAAATAAATCTGTGCAAAAAAGGCAGTTTGTGTCAATGTACACTTATTTGTTTCCACAGTAGACATCAAAAACAGTAAATGAGGAAATCGTATAAACACAATCCTCGACAGAAAATCAGAAACTCCACAATGTTACTCCCCTTTTATTGAAATGGTTTGTCCTCAGTTCAAGTAAATATCGTTGCAGCTCAGAGATCTCCAAGTGGGGCAGCGGTGGCCTAACGGTTAGAGAGGACTTGCAGGTTTGAGTTCTGGCATCAGCAGGGATGTTGTAGGAGTTGGGAGTAAACCACCAGCAGTCCCACCACCCTCAATACTGCAGCTGAGCTGATTTTCCTTGAGTAAGGCACCAATCCTCAAGTGTCTCCAAACTGTGGAGCCATTCCTAAAGCTTACGAACGCCTTTATCATTGCACCACTCCTAACACACCCTGATCCCAGTACATCTTCCCCAATCCCAGCAGCAGGTGAACCCAGCTCATTTTCATCCCTGTGTCTTCTTCTCTTGAAAGCTCACCCTAGTGAAGAGGAACTACAGTATGACCTCTCCTTTCAGAGAGCCTGATGGGGAGTTCAACCAATCCCATCACTCACTGTCCCTGGAGTTCCAGAACCTGCATGTTGTCAACTCCTCAATCAGCCACATCACTTTCCTTTATCATGCTTTACTTCAACATACCTCTCTCTGCACAACTTAAGGCCAACTTCATTTCAACTATTGCATCAAGTCCACATAGCAGGTCTGATGTAGCATTCACATAGTCGCTCACCTGGTGCTGTAGCCTGATGTGCACCACTCAAAAATCATAACTACAAATCGTGACGACACAAAGTACAAACTATTCTCAGTTGAATTCAAAGTTGAGCGTATAGGCGATGGCCACTGATGTGCTCCAGATGGAGACTTTTGTTTTGTGGTTATTTTCTGACTACAGCTGTTTCCCAGAACAATACATACTTGCAATGGTGTTGACTGTGCAAGTACACACTTGGGGCACAGCAGTGCATAAACATAAAATAGATTTTACATGTCTGCAATGTGGTTTCCTCAAATAATCTCCAAAATGTCTCCTTCTTCTTCTTCTCTCTCTTACTCTCTGTGTGTTAACAAAATTTTGGATACTTCCCCAAGACAAGATGTTTTCCACTCTCCATCAATTGACTCTAATAACCACTGTGTCACAGAAGGAGACGGAAGCAGAGACGCAAGTATGAAAACAGTTTATTGTAAAGGATGGCAGAATGTAAATTCTTTGGTGTGAGCTGAGCATCACACATCTACACACCATTGAGTATTGAGTTTTTTCTGTACATGACTTTGGACTTTAACCAGGGAATGTGAGATGGGTCTATTAACCAGCTAACAGACAGGGTCCATTCTGATGTTCTGGACAATTTGCTTACATACTTTTGCACAACATGCACATGATCACTAGTTAGTATCTCAACATTGCGCAGTGCAGAAGTGACTGAGATGACAGATGCTCTCACTGATAAAAACCTCTGCTGAAGATGAAGACTGAAATGAGTGACTTGGCAACTGCGCAACATTTCAGTTCATGCAAAGGATGAACAGTTTTGCAATGTAGGTTTAACAAAAAGGAGGAGTCTGATATCTAAATCTATTATTTTATACGTTGAAGAACACAAGGCTGAACACAAACGGTGAGTTACTGTTTTATTGATTGACTTCTTCAACAGAATAATGCAGGAAAATAACCAGAAACAGCAATAATCTGAGTGTTTTTGGGTTTGGTTTACAGAGATCTACTGAGAAGATGGCAGTAAGTTCACATTATAGAGTCTGTTTTTACTTCTGTCATGATGTCGGTGTGATTTGCTGATTATGAATGAGGCTGATGATCAGTGCTGTTTCTCTCTCTAGATGACGGTGTTCGTCGTGGCTCTGCTTTCTGTTTTCACGGCGTCTGTTGTCTCTGGATTTAAGCCGTTTGACTGTTCTGAAATCTACAAATCAGGACAAACAGGCAGTGGGATTTACTCCATCTATCCAGCCGGCGACACTCCTGTCTGGGTTTACTGTGAGATGGTCTCTAGAATGATGGATGGATTCAATGGAGGATGGACGGTACGTAAAACATAATTATTAAAAATATAATAAACAAAAAACCTTCATTTTGATAAATGTAATCCATCACAGGTGTTTCAGAGACGAATGGACGGCAGCATTAACTTCTATCAGCCTTGGGAAGAGTATAAGAAAGGATTCGGGACCACCGAGGGCGAATACTGGCTGGGTGAGTCTCATTTTATAATCTTTACTAAACACTTAAGCCGCAGTGAAAATGTAAAAAATGTCTCTGCATTACAAAACAAAATATCAAAATAAGTGACGTTACTTTAGAGACAGACAGCACAAACTATGTGGACATTTTAGCTTGTCCTTTGGTCTCTTGTGTCCTCGTGTTTCACTGTTTTCCCTGAACCCTGTTCCCAGCTTTGTTTCTCTGTTGTTTCAGTATTCTTTAGTCATAACTGTGTAATAAATATATGTTGTAATTGAATCCTGATGCTGCTTGACTCTTGAGTTTCCCTTCACGACAAATGTTCAAGGTTTGTTTTAACATGTTCTTCGTGTTTGTGTGTGAACAGGGCTGGAGAACCTCTACCAGCTGACACGCCAAAAGAAGTTCATGCTGAAAGTGGATCTGGAGGACTTTACTGGAAGGAGAGGTTTCGCTCAGTACTCGTCCTTCTCTGTGGGTTCTGAAGCTGAAGGATATAAACTGCAGGTCTCTGCTTTCACTGATGGAGGAGCAGGTACGACACTTTTACCTGTACCTGTACCTTTACCTGTAGTAAACATACACATGATGTTCTCTATGATATTCTCTCTGCAGGTGACTCTCTGGCCTACCACAATCAAATGAAGTTCAGCACCTTTGACAAGGACCAAGACAACAGTGTAAAGAACTGCGCCAAACTTAATCTCGGGGCCTTTTGGTACAGGGACTGTCACCATACAAACCCCAATGGTGTTTACTTGTGGGGAGAAGATGCCACCATTTTTGGCATTGGAAATGTTTGGTATGCCTGGACAAACAAATATGCCACTGGATTGAAATCCATCACCATGAAGATCAAACCTGTGTCTTAAATGTTTGAAGTCATTTCTTTCTTTTTGTTTTGGTTCATGTTAATTGAAACAAATCAACATCAACTTCAATAAACTCCTGCAATGAAAGACACTGTGTGGATGTGCATTTATTTATTTATCTCCACAGTTAATCCCTCCAGGATTTTATCTGATAGAATTTAGCGAAAAATCAAGCAAACAAGCAAAACTGAGCAGATCTCTTTATCAAAAGTTCAGAGCCAAAATGCTTTTCATGAAGCCACTGTGGCACACGGCCACCCAAAGAAAAGCCCTTGTTGAAGCACACCTCACGTGCTAAACAAGTTGAAAAGACATATTTAATAATAATTCCCTACATTTATATAGCACTTTCTAGGCACTCAAAGCAGGGCCGGAGTGGGACTCCTTTTCAGCCCCGGAGTTTCAAGCCAGACCGGCCCACCTCAGTACACGACTGACTATATTAAAATAAGGTCATTTCCATTTCAGTTTCTTATGACACTACCACGTCTTTTTCAAGAAAACAGCTGCTTTAGAACTTTAAATGTTCAACAGCCCTCACAGTATTATATGTCTTAACAATAAACATGATAAAAATAAAATGATAATAATTTAGGTGAGATTCAAACACACGTTGACGGCATCTTAGAGCAATGTGCTAACCACTAGGCCACAGGGGCGCCGTTCTGGATGTAGTAAAAAATTCAGATTTCTCATCAAGTTACATCAGCTGTATGAATATAGTGAATTATCTGATTTTCATTGAGCAGGTGTATTATTCATTAATATTAATTATTTGAATTCTTATATCCACTAAGGTGCCGCTGTTTGGGGTTGAATGATGATATTTACATCATTACCCTGTAGGCTGCATTTTGCTCACGGGGCTGCGAGAAAATAAATAAAAAGAGCAGATCTGCGGCAAAATAATTTATAAAAAGAGTGAGGCTATGGTCAAATACATAAATAAATAAAAAAGTGCGACTGCTGAGAGTGCAAGCATTTAGAGACACCGGCCCTCACGGCCAAAAAACGGACTGGCCCACCGGCAATTCTCCCGGTCCTCCCGATTAGCCAATCCGGGCCTGACTCAAAGCGCTTTACACACTGGGGGAATCTCCTCATCCACCACCAGTGTGCAGCATCCCCCTAGGATGACATGACAGCAGCCATTTTGCGCCAGACCACACAGCAGCTGATTGGTGGAGAGGAGACAAAGTGATGAAGCCAATTATGATATGGGGAGGGTTAGGAGGCCATGATGGACAGAGGCCAGTGGGCAGATTTGGCCAGGATGCAGGGGTTAATCTCCTACTCTTTTTCGAAGGACATCCTGGGATTTTTAACAACCAAAGAGAGTCAGGACCTCAGTTTAATGTCTCATCTGAAAGACGGCGCTCACTGAGCAGTATAGAGTCCCCTTCACTATACTGGAGCATTAGGACCCACACAGGCCGCAGGTTGGTCACCCCCTGCGGGCAGCAACCTAGCTTTCCCATGTGGTCTCCCATTCAGGTACTGACCGGGCGCAGCCCTGCTTAGCTTCAGTGGGCAACCATGTGAGAGCTGCAGAGAGTTATCTGCCGGAATTTAACTATAAACCTAACTTTGGAGCATCAACTTCGGGGCATGACCTACTGTATGGCATGTTTGTGAGTAAGCAGATAACATGGGATTAGTGTTTCCTCTACTTTATGCATTGAAATAACATCTAGACTGCCCCCAGAACAATGCTCTGGGTTTGGATGTGGAACATTTCACTGCTGAAATTCCCAGGTTTGACTTTGTAAGTTAGCGTATATTGCGCTCAGTGCTGTTAGATGATTGGGCATTGGCTGACTGTGCTACTGTGTATTTGATGTTTTAATGCATGATCTTATGCAATCATCATGCGCACACAATCAGCTGTAAACCCATGTTATCTGTATTTATTCGTTTATTTAAAAATCTCCATAATAATGTCACCAAAAAGACATTCTGCATCAAAATGAGTCTGTTTAAGCTGCAGACATCAGAAATAAATCCAGCAAAATGCACAGCACAAATCAGAAACAGTACCTGAGGAAACCTCACCAGTTCTAGGTGACAGACAGACACACAGGGTCCATTCTGATGTTCTGGAAGATTTGCCAACATACTCTTGCATGACATGTACATGATCACTAGTTAGTATCTCAACATTGCGCAGTGCAGAAGTGACTGAGATGACAGATGCTCTCACTGATAAAAACCTCTGCTGAAGATGAAGACTGAAGTGACTCGACAACTGCGCAACATTTCAGTTTATGTAAAGTTTTGCAATACAGGTTTAACAGAAAGGAGGAGTCTGATGTCTACATATATAATTTTTCTTCACTGAAGAACACAAGACTCAACACAAACGGTGAGTTACAGTTTTATTGATTGACTTCTACAACAGAATAATGCAGGAAAATAACCAGAAACAGCAATAATCTGAGTGTTTTTGGGTTTGGTTTACAGAGATCTACTGAGAAGATGGCAGTAAGTTCACATTATAGAGTCTGTTTTTACTTCTGTCATGATGTCGGTGTGATTTGCTGATTATGAATGAGGCTGATGATCAGTGCTGTTTCTCTCTCTAGATGACGGTGTTCGTCGTGGCTCTGCTTTCTGTTTTCACGGCGTCTGTTGTCTCTGGATTCAAGCCGTTCGACTGTTCTGAAATCTACAAATCAGGACAAACAGTCAGTGGGATTTACTCCATCTATCCAGCCGGCGACACTCCTGTCTGGGTTTACTGTCAGATGGTTTCAGATGGGAAAGTTGAAGAGAACGAAGGATGGACGGTATGAAATATAAATATTAACCATTATAAACTCTTTAAAGCTTCAGAACAATAAACATAATATATCACAGGTGTTTCAGAGGAGAATGGACGGCAGTATTCATTTCTTCCAGCTGTGGGAGAAGTACAGGATAGGATTCGGTACCACAGAGGGTGAATACTGGCTAGGTGAGTCTCATTTGCTAGGTCTTTGCAGCTCTTACATGGTCACCCAATAAAGATAAGCATGGTTGTGCCTGGTCAGTACCTGGATGGCAGACCACATGGGAAAACTAGGTTGCAGCTGGATTGTAAGGCCAGCAACAGGGGCACTCTCCTCATGGTCTGTCTATAATCTCTGGGAGTCTACTCTCTGTCGTTCACATGAGACATTAAACTGGGTTTCTAAATCTTGTGGTCATTAAAATCATAGCATGTACATCACAAAGTGTATTCACTGGTTACCAATTAAATACAGAATTGATTTTAAAGTTTTAATATTTGTTAACAAATAGGTCAATAATCTTGCTCCTCATTACCTTACTGACTTGCTCTGTCCGTATATCCCCTCTTGATCACTGAGATCTCTTGTTCTCAGTTTACTCACCGTGCCCAGAACACGCCTTACAAAATGAGGTGATCGAGCGTTCTATCAATTAAGGAACATTGCCAAATTGAAGCCTTTTCTGTCTTTTAAAGTGCTGGAAACCATCATTAGTGTTTTTATTATGTCCAGATTACTCTAACTCTTTGTAATCACGAGTTTTGCAGGCATCAGTTGCATGCCTGCTGCTGGTTCAAAATGCAGCCGCTAGGCTTTTAACTGGGACAAAAAAAATTTTCTAGTATCTGACCAGTTTTATCATCTCGTCAACGGCTTCCAGTCCAATTTAGGATTCAATATAAGTTATTGCTACTTGTTTTTAATAGTTTGAATGGTCTGGCACCTATTCACATCTCTGAGCTTCTTCACTGGCACACTTCATTGAGGCCAATCAGGTCAGAAAACAAGTTTCAGCTAGTTGTCCCCAAAACATGGTTAAAATCAAGAGGTGACAGGGCTTTTTCTGCTGCAGCCCCCCGACTGTGGAATGGTCTGCCTTTACAGATCCGGTCATGTTCCTCACTTGGTGCTTTTAAGTCTCATCTAAAAAAATCACCTTCTGTCTCTAACCTTTGATTGTAATTAATTAATTTTCATCTGTTTTATAATTTTCTTATTTTTATATATAGGTATAGATTTTCTATGCTGGTCTTTTTGTAAAGTACTTTGGTCAACATCTGTTGTTATTAAATGTGCTCTATAAATCAAGCAAACAAACAAACTGGTTCCCCTGAACTCTGTTCCAGTTTTTTGTTTGTGAGAAATCTCCAGTGTTTGGTTCAACGTTCTTTGTGTGTGTGTGTAATCAGGGCTGGAGAACCTCTATCAGCTGACACGCCACAAGAAGTTCATGCTGAGAGTGGATCTGGAGGACTTTACTGGAAGGAGAGGTTTCGCTCAGTACTCGTCCTTCTCTGTGGGTTCTGAAGTTGAAGGGTATAAACTGGAGCTTTCTGGGTTTACTGATGGAGGAGCAGGTACGACACTTTCATTCACACTCATTCCTTTTCACAAGTCATTGTCCTCAGTGACGTCCTTCTTCTCTGTAGGCGACTCTCTGTCCTACCACAATGGAATGAAGTTCAGTACTTATGACAGGGACCAAGACACCAATGAAGATAACTGTGCCAGAATGCGCCTTGGGGCATTTTGGTATAAAGGGTGTAACTATGCAAACCCCAATGGTGTTTATTTATGGGGAGAAGACAAGAGCAAAAATGGCATTGCAATTAATTGGTACACCTGGAAGAACGATAATGAAACTCCCATGAAATTCATCACCATGAAGATCAAACCTGTGTCCTAAAACATTTGAAGAAACAAACATTAAAACAATGAAATGAAGGCTCAATTGGTTAATTTCGTCTGTCCTCTGAGTCTATATTAAGCATCTTTTATTTTGTGTTGGGTTTCTTATGAAGTTTCAACTGAAACAATTAAACAATCTTCAATAAACTCCTGCAATGAAAGGCTTCACGTGTTGATGTACATTTATTTGTCTCCACAGTAGATAACTGAAACAGTAAATGAGAAATCAGTTTGATGGGGTCAGATTCCTGAAGGAAAGTGATGTTGTAATGTAGTGAGTAATGGCTGATTGAGGAGTTGACAAGGTGCTGTCTCTGGTGGGTAGATCTCCAGGCACAGTGAGTGATGTGATTGAGAAGAGAGCCTGGCTGATCCATGACTGTACTCACCTAATGTAATAATCATTATCCCTTTTCTCATTACTTGATTAATGTGATTATTTGAAACGGTTCCTATATTGTTATTACATGTGTTAAAACTAACATCTAAAAGTTATTTCCTTTCAAGAGTTCACACTCAGCTGATGACTGATTATAAAGCGTGTTTGGCATGCTGACCCGTGTTAGAGCCCTGAGCTCCTAAGGTCCTTGAGCTGGAGGTAGATGTGGAGAACTCCCCTGCTGTAGTAGCTCATGAACAGATAGTGATTGATCTCTCATAAGAGATAACAACTGACTAGCAGCATGTCTATGGTGCTGATATGGATTAATCAATTACAGTAAGTTGCATGTTTTTGGACGGTGGGAGGAAACCGGGGAACCCGGGGGAAACTGCACACAACATTTGGACATGATTATATCAGAGTACGCCTCCTTGTGGCCGTCGCACAGAATCTTCAGTGTTGTCGTGCACCATGGGAGAGAAGCTGTTCTGGCAGTGGATTTTGGAGGGAATGTAGAGACAACATAAAAAATCATATTTTAATTACTCATTTATGAATTGAAATGTTTTTATATATAGATCTTCTTATAAAATAAATAATAAAGAAACTCTTATCTCACACGCACGCACCTGCTTTGGCAACACTGAAATACATCCAACCCAGGCTCATTCTGGAAACGTAGCCCCGCGGATGTTTCTGGAGACAGCAAAATACGTCCCAGGAGGTACGTATTTGTGCAGTTATTGTTTTCGCGAATCCACGAGAAGCTGCTTTGCGGGCTTTTATGTGTCTTGAAAGCCTCTCACGAGTGCGTACCATTCACGCCCGTGCTTTTTTCGCGTGAAAAGCCGACAGAGGCTGCTGTCGAGTGACCGTCTATCCGACTGACTGAACAACTGGATGACTGAACGATTGACTGGGCGGCCGGACAATCGGCCAACCAAGCCACCCTTCTCCTCCTCCTTCCCTAAACCTAAGCGACGATTTCCAAAATCCGTCCAGAAAAAGAAAAGCCCTCATCCAATTTTGATCGCCTTTTTGGATTTCGCCGCATACTCGCCCCGTTACAAACTCGTTCGCTTTATTTCTTGGATTCTGTTTTTTGTTTTACCTGATTTCTGGAGCCACTCTTCCCCAGACTCGAATACGGTCGAACGCCGCGGCCGGCTCCTCCTCCATTAGTTCGTAACAACACTAGGTCACACTTGATTTTGATGGTCTGTTTGTTGAATTTAGGTTATAGAGCATCTACATGCCGACTAATTCTAAATTAGATTATAAGTAGACTGTTAGGTTGGGGTTAGTGTAAGTTGACATGTACTGTACCTGCAAAGATTCTTATAGTTACCCAACACTAATGTTCATTGCAAAACTCAAAAGGATAGGTAATTTCCTAACATTAGCCACAGAGATATTCTTTTAAATATTATTGCACAACACAAGAATGAGTATAAAAGAATGATCAACTGTCTCAATAAAGCATTGAGCACTTGAAGGAGATCCAGTGATCTGAACATCTCAGCCTCGATTGACTACAAAAATGGTGAGTTCAGTTCTTGAGTTCTGCACAGATAATCAATGTAGTTGATTAATGTTGGTGTAACGAGTGTGATTTGCTGATTATGAATGAGGCTGATGATCAGTGCTGTTTCTCTCTCTAGATGACGGTGTTCGTCGTGGCTCTGCTTTCTGTTTTCACGGCGTCTGTTGTCTCTGGATTCAAGCCGTTCGACTGTTCTGAAATCTACAAATCAGGACAAACAGTCAGTGGGATTTACTCCATCTATCCAGCCGGCAACATTCCTGCCTCCGTTTACTGTCAGATGATTTCAGATGGGAAAGATGAAGAGAACGGAGGATGGACGGTATGAAATATAAATAATAATAATTATAAAATAGTTTGGCCTTCAGAGTGATACATGCAACCCATCACAGGTGTTTCAGAGACGAATGGACGGCAGCGTTAGCTTCTATCGGCTGTGGGAAGAGTACAAGAGAGGATTCGGGAATGTGGAGGGCGAATACTGGCTGGGTGAGTCTCATTTTGGGTCGCGTCTGAACAAAAAAAACCTTGACTAGACACTTAATTTACCCTGAACTGGAACAATACACTGTAAAAAATGTCCGTGATTTCAATGGTAAAAAACTGTAAAAATGCTCCAGTACAAATCCGTAAACTGGTTAACGTTGTGTTTCCTCAATATATACGATGAATAACCGTAAATTGACTTTCCCAGAATTCCCTGCATGGCAAATCACTTTTTGTGCATTTGTTTGACATTAATATGGATCTTTTTAGTTGTTTCCCCATCAGTTATGTACATGAGAGATTTATGTTACATCTAATGTTGATAAATAATGTTTATTTTATGACTTTAATTAATTATGCGTGTTACCACACTGGTGTTTAGCAGCTGTGTGAATCACACTGAGCACCTTCTATAAGCTGATACTCTTTTCTGCTTGTGGAAAAAGTTAATTAAATAAAATATAATCACAGCAGGAGCTGATTAACATTTTGTAAATTAAAGCAGAAAAAGAGTGGAAGGTGTGGTGATCTATACCCAGAGTTTCTGCTCTAAAGCTTTGTCTAGACTATATAAAATGCACCTGCAGTGCAGGAATCACTCATAAATGTCTTTGTATTTTTGATTACTGTCAGCATTTTGGGTCAGGGAAGAACTCAAGTGGAGTAATAAGGATGGCTATTGTTTTTACAATAAATCAAAACTAAAAAACACTCTGAGAGGGAAACATTAGCTAAAATAATAAAACTGGACTAGACTGGTAAGACAGGGTTAAACAAGCCAATAAAAAAGTTCACTTGCCGTCACATTTGCAGCAGGAAACCCAGACTCATTCTGAAAGTGTAGTCCCGTGGACGTTTCTGGATATTGAGACATGGATCCCGGGAGGAACGAATTTCTGCAGTTTTTGTTTTCACAAATCCACGAGAGGCCACTGTGTTTGCTTTTTTATCTTAAATGTCTCTCACGTGTGCCGTTCACTCCTGTGCTGTTCTTACGTAAACCCACCAGAGGCCGCTGTTGAATGATAGACACAGTTATTACATGAAGATTGTGAATTATGAGGACATTGCTGATGTCCCTACTTCAGAAAAAGGTTATGAACCGTACAGAGTGAGCTTTCTCAGAAAGGGTGGAGCAATATAAAACACAATTTGTACAGATTTAAAACAATAGAAACATATGGAATGTCCACACAATTCACAATTTGTGTGTGTGTGTGTGTGTGTGTGTGTGTGTGTGTGTGTGTGAGTGTGTGTGTGTGAACAGGGCTGGAGAACCTCTACCAGCTGACACAACACAAGAAGTTCATGCTGAGAGTGGATCTGGAGGACTTTACTGGAAGGAGAGGTTTTGCTCAGTACTCGTCCTTCTCTGTGGGTTCTGAAGCTGAAGGATATAAACTGCAGGTTTCTGGATTCACTGATGGAGGAGCAGGTACAACACTTTCTTTCACACTCAAGAAAACTAATGTCTGTTGAGTTATTGTCCTCAATGATGTTCTTCCTCTCTGCAGGAGACTCACTGTTCTTCCACAATGGAATGAAGTTCACCACCTATGACAAGGACCAAGACAACACTGAAAAGAACTGCGCCAGAATGTATCTAGGAGGATTTTGGTATAATGCCTGTCACTATGCGAACCCCAATGGTGTGTACTTAGGGGGAGAAGACAAGACCGTGTTTGCCATTGGAAATGTTTGGTACACCTGGAAGAACAATTTAGATATTGGTATGAAATTCATCACCATGAAGATCAAACCTGTGTCTTAAATGCAAAGCAAGGCTTAGATTTTTACTTTGCTCTGTCTGCTTAGTTTGTTAACAGTCTTTTTTTGTATTGGGTCATTTATGACCTTTTTAACAAATCATTAACACGTTTGAATAAACTCCTGCAATGAAAGGCATCACGTGTTGATGTGCATTTATTTGTCTCCACAGTGGACATCAGAAACAGTGAATGAGGAAATCAGCTCATATTCAATTAACTTTCCCTATAAATGCAAACTTGTATATAAATAATGCATGAGTAATTCATTTTGCATTAACCAGCTGAGTTGCTGATGATGATGAAATTTTGTAATTTAAGAGCACTCTAGTTTACACTGTACAAAAGACCTACACGAGCAAGACACAATATATATATCAAGGACATAGCTAATGCTCTCTTTAGATATATATTTCCACACAGGCCCGGCCCTTACCAATTTGGCGCCCTAGGCAAGATTTCAGGTGGCGCCCCGTCACATCACGTTTATTCCACTGCTAGTGTATAGTTATAAGAGACTAAATAGCTTTTTGATCGACTACTACAAGCTGGGAAAACATCATATAAATATGCCAATGCAATTAACGTTATTACTGAATAGATCTAATATTCACACATTTGCTTGAGGCAGGAATGATGGAGGTAGTTACACTACTATTACTATTTTCCATAACATCTATGCCCTTCCATAATAGAAAATATTGACAATAGAATAAAAGGTTAAAAACAATGGCTTATACAGAAATTAAATAAAGCTATAAAATCTATTTAACTTTTAATTGTATTTGCATATTTATTAAAGTTACTATAGTTATTTAGTGAAGAGCAGCAGATGAATCTCTCAGTGTTTTGTTTGATAACAGAGATGTTATTGTAAGAATGCACAGATCTATATGAATGAAAGAATGACTGAAGCATTCGACTACTTTAGTAACTGTTTGTGCTTATTTAAGAGAAAATTAGTTGTGTTTAAAATAAAACACGCAGGACAGAGCAAAAAAAAAACAAAACAAAAAAAAACGAATAAACGAAAAAAAAGAAGCACTTTTCCGACGGTCCCTTACTGAGAGCTCCGGTCCGCGCGAGCTCTGCCGGCTAAATGCATATCTCCGGCTAAACGGAGCAGTGTTCGTAATGTCGAGCGAAAAAAAAAGAAACAGACAGCTGTGAAACATAACCAGCTTTGTCTTTTTTTAGGAAACACACTTTAGATCTTTTAGGGTAAGAGGTTTGAGTTATTGCCATCTATCTCTGAATGTGTCAGGAATATCAAAAACAAAACCAACTTGACCACGCTCATTTCTGGCGCCGCCCTGGATGTACAGCGCCTTTAGCATTTGCCTATACTGCCTATGCCACGGGCCGGCCCTGTTTCCACATATTTTATGCCTGTTCACTTTTTTCTTGACTGTGTAGATATTAAGGGAACATTTTACTGCAACAAATTCAAACATGAATACATGAACCACCTACAAAATTTAGTTGATGAAAGAAACAACATCTGCACACTTTATTCAACTTTGCATGGGTCATCTCCATGTTCAATAAACAAATCAATCTCCTTGTTCTTGTAAAGTCCAGCATGTTGTTGGTGCAATATAATCCAGCTCATCTTGTGGAAGACCGGCACGTTTCTGCAATTGGGTGTGAAAACAGTATTTCCATCAGTGGTGTCCCTCAGTTCCCTCTACCCTCTCTTTCTTCACTCCAGACCATCCCCGCCAATTCCCTTTCCATCAAGACCTCCATCACCAAACCATCTGTAGAAACTGCAGAATGTTACTCCCCTTCCAGTGACATGGTTGAGGCTACTGTAAGGGGTAAATTTAGTGTTGGTGTTAATAAAGCACAAGAGGTTGTCATATTCAACACATTAAATCAATCAATCACAAGCCCAGAAGGTTTCTGCAGCGCACTTTTCAGCCCGCTCAAGTATGCTCAAAACTCCCTTCATCAGGCAACTTCTAATCTCACTTGCTTATAATATGTACAAAGCCACATTAGGTGAGTACAGTCATGGATCAGCCAGGCTCTCTTCTCAATCACATCACTCACTGTGCCTGGAGATCTACCCACCAGAGACAGCACCTTGTCAACTCCTCAATCAGCCATTACTCACTACATTACAACATTACTTTCCTTCAACATACCTCACTCTGGACAACTTAAAGCCAGTTTATACATATGTGTCAAGTGCATTTAGTATTGTTTAAATAAACTTCATGATCAAATGTTTGACCGCTTTCAGGACACATTAGTGCATGCATCACTGACCCTTCCTGACCAGAGGACGAACTCTCACACTCCCTGATGGACTGATGTTCTGATAATCAGTTTACATTGGTTTGGTTCAGGTTAGTCCTGCAAGTTTTGTGGGTTCACCAACAGAAAGCTGGGTTACTTTAAAGTGACTTTGCTGTGAGCTAGGCATCATACATCTTCACACCACTGAATAATAATGTTTTACCTAGTGCAAGATTTTGTGCTTTAACCTAGGATGGGTCCGTTCACCAGCTAACAGACACGGTCTTTTCTGATGTTGTGGACAATTTGCCAACATACTCTTGCATGACATGTACATGACCACTAGTCAGTATCTCAACATTATGCAGTGCAGAAGTGACTGAGATGACAGATGCTCTCACTGATAAAAAGCTCTGCTGGAGATGAAGACAGAAGTGAGTGACTTGGCAACTGCGCAACATTTCAGTTCATGCAAAGGATAAACAGTTTTGCAAGACAGGTTTAAACAGAGAGCAGGAGTCTTACATTTGAATATATACAGTGGCGTAGCGCAAAATGCGGAGGCCCCCCTGCAGGGATCAATGACAGGGCCCCTTAGAGCCAGAGATATACACATATACACATATATCTGTGATCGGGAGTTTTCCTGGATGTTAGTATGTAATTTTTATCTTCTAATTATGAAAACTATAGTTTCACATCACTTTTCTACATTGATGGATCAGTGACCGCACGGCCATTCCTGACAAAAAGCTTGTGTTTGTGTGTACAGAAATGTACTATTCACCCTCCCTGTTAAATCTGATCTAATCATGTCCTGAAACACAGCTCCTCTCCTGCTTTCACTGCTCATACTGACGGAGGGAGCGATTCGTTTGTGAATGAATCCCCCGAACGACTCTTTCACTAACGTTAGCCGACAATAATACATGTTTCTGGCAGCGCAGCATCTCTTGGTCATATTTCTTTTGCATTGTTTGCTGATTTTATTCAACAAGACGAGCATAAACCAAGTGTTTAGAATGAGTGGGAGCTGCTTTGACTTATAGTGAATGCAGTAAGTGACTGTCATCATCAATAATGTTACCTGATTAGCACAAAAGTTCAGAACATACAAAAACAGAAAAAAACGTAATACTACCTATGAAATGTTCTGCCTTTGTGCTTTGTTTTCTTTGTTTGCTCGTTACTACATCCGTAGACAGCGCTAAAGTCCCGCATCTTCACGTAATAACACTGTCCTGACTAGTGCGGTTGAATGACATTTGTGCTGGGAGCACTGTACCAATGTGGCGGCGCTATAGACGCATGCTCAGGGTCCCTATACGATATCTAGTGTATATATCTATGTCACTTATGTACTTATGTAAATGTTCTTTCTGGGAGTTAATGCTTAAAAGTTCGAAATTCTATTCAGGTTTCCTATGCTCAAATATGTCATTTTCCAAAAGCATGTAGCATTATAGTACATTTACGTTTTACTTATTCTTTCTATGTGTTATATTTTTGCTGTATATACATTTCTAACTTTGTCATTGCCAGCCAAGCTGCATATGAGATGATGGAGACTGACCCAGACTGAGCAGCATCTCTACATCTGGGCCACACAGAAACTTACACAGACAGACACTGTAAACTCTGCAAGACAGACTAAGAGAAGGGAACGAAAACCAACACTGCTGTCAGCTGAAGATGTGGATGAAGGAGACACAACACTAAGGAGGTAGCTGAGACAAACTGAATATAAATTGTGTACGGACACGTGTAGAAGTAAACCCCCTGTTGGAGAAGAACTGACAGCTGCTGTGTGAACTTGAAGGATACAGGATGTCTGATGGATTTTGTAGCAAGAATGATGCTGAAGTACCAAACAGTAAAAAAACACACAAAATCTGAATAACAAGCACTGAGCCATCAACATGATACTCCCTTGTGAAGGTGAAGATGTTGCATTACCCTGCTGAAAAATCCAGCTTAAACCTGCCTAGGCTGGTTGGCTGGTTTTAGTTGGTTGACCAGCCTGGTTTTAGAGGGGTGTTGGCCATTTCCAGGCTGGTTTTCAGCCATTTACAGCCTGGTCTTAGCTGGTCAGGCTGAAAAATGACCAGCTTAATCCAGCTAAAACCAGCTTGACCAGCCTGGTTTAAGCTGGACATAGCTGGTTTTGGCTGGGCTCTCAGCCTGGCTAGGCTGGTCAAGCTGATTTTAGCTGGTCATCTCCCAGCCTGACCAGCTAAGACCAGGCTGGAAATGGCTGGAAACCAGCCTGGAAATAGCCAAAACCCCTCTAAAACCAGCCTGGTTGACCAGCTAAAACCAGCCAACTAGCCTAGGCTGGTTTAGGCTGGATTTTTCAGCAGGGTACAGCATAGGATTGTAACTGTCAAACAAACCAGCGTTCAACTGTAGTGTAGAAGAGCTGTAGTTGCCAATCAGAGTTAAAAGCCCAGGTGTATAAATGCATTCTGTGCTTAATTGAAATATTCTTTACAAATTCCTTTACATTTTTGTAACTTTGTTTTCTTTCGCTGTGTGTATGAGTGTGTTTTGCTGATGTTTCATCCTGTCTCATGTAAACAGTATGATGCATTCCTCCAGAAATGACTTTTCCCTCAGTGCCTGAATAAAAATATCATTTGTATAAATGTAAATAAATGGAGGATGACTTAAAATGTGTTGTTAACTCATTTATTGTTTATCTTCTTCACAATAACAAAACTGGTACATCAAAACCAAACACAAGGTCAGCAGTTATTACTTGAACTGAATAATCCTTTAAAGAACCGAGACAAGTGTTTTTGCTCAAAGTTAAACATTAAGTCAATCAGTAGTTTGAGCTAAATAGTTCACCAACAAATTTAAAGTGACTTACTATTTACCTGCCATCAAGTGATTCTAAACCTTTATGAGTTTATTTTTTACTCTTTACATTAATAAAGATATCATGAAGAAAGCTGAAAATCTGTTTTAGGAATTGTAGGAAAACCAACAAATACAATGGAAGTCAATAGTTACAGGTTTTCAGCTTTTATCATATCTGTACTTGTGTTCCACATATCTTTGTATTTGTGTGTATTATTTTATTTGATGTTTTTTTGTTGTTGTTGTTCTCTATGCATTCAATAAATTGATAATAGTATTTACACTTTTTGTTCTGTTGCTTTCAGGACATTTATTGTTCGTATTTGTAAAATACTTTGGATTCAAACATCTGTCCAATAGTTTGTTAATGTAAGTATTAGATGTAACTAATTAAATACTTTATTATAATAAAACTTAGAAATACTGTGGTTTAATGGTTTAAACTAAACGTTTGTTAAGACATTGATGATGATATACAGTATGACATGTCGTTATCAGCAATGAGGGGATGGCAGCAGCGCACTCCATTGGTTTGCAGTTATTTCAGACGGATCTATATCCTGAATGTAAGTCCCTGCATGTTTGTTTAGTTTATTGCGGTACCGCGTACTCTTGATATTCTTTTACTTCTCCAGCTTGACCTTTTTATGGCATGTATCTCTCTTGTGTTATGTGCTTCTCTTAAGTTGTCTCGTGAAGCGATACCACAAAAATGGCGCTGGTGTGATGCACACACAACAAACGCACGTGACTGACAAAGACCGATTGAGGAGCGGGGAAAGGAGGCGGGTGGAGCAACAACGCGGGGAAGCCTTCACAAACTGAGGAGCGATCACAAACCGAAAGCGGCGAGAGCGTCAAAGTAGCCAGAAGTCAATAATTTTTTAACGAGAACCGGCGGCGAGAAACAGCGGCGCGTCTTCATTGGCTATGACGCAGTTCGGCGGCAAGCAATCAGAATGAAGTAGTCCACCGCTTGTGAGGGGTTTAGAGAACACAGACCTGTGAACTTTGGTTCCGACCACAGTTGTTCCCAAGAGTTTGATTATTGTGATTCCTGGATTTTCAATTATTGAAAATCGTGACGATGTGGGGCCCCCTAATCACGCGGGCCCCCCCGCGTTGCGTGCCCATCCGCTACGCCACTGAATATACACTGTTCAAAAAATAAAGGGAACACATAAACAACACAATGTAAGTCCAAGTCAATCACACTTCTGTTAACTCAAACTGCCCACTTATGAAGCAACACTGATCGACAATCAATTTTGAACGCTGCCGGTGCTTTCACTCCAGTGGTAACATGAGGAGTCTACAACCCACACAAGTGGCTCAGATAGTGCAGTTCATCCGGAATGAGCTGTGGCAAGAAGGCTTGCTGTATCTGTCAGCGTAGTGTCCACAGCATGGAGGCTCTGGACACTACGCTGGCCAAAGCAAAGTCTTAGTCTCTGTCCTGTGGAGCTATTGCCTAAGCTCAAGGATGCTATCACCAGTGCTTCACGCCTAAAATGCCCTGATCCGACTATGACCCTCAAAGACCCAGCATGGATCCACCAGGCTCTGTTCTCAACCAATCAAATCACTCACTGTCCCTGGGATTCAATGTGGCTGATTGAGGAGTTGACAAGGTGCAAGTTGTGCTGGAAGTATAAGAAGTACATGCTGTTTATTTCCAGAGCATTTGTAAAGGCAACCTTGATACATTTTTTATTTATCTCATATTCTATATATATATATATTACTTTAGGGGGGTTTCACCTGTAATGACAGGACAGTGGAGATTTACAGACAGGAAAGTGGAAGGAGCAGAGAAAGTGGAAGGATCGGCCAAAGACTTCGAGACGGGAATTAAACTTTGGTCGCCATGAGCACCTGGGTAATATATGTTGATGCAGTAACCACTAGGCTTTTTTTCCCCAGTTGCAAACCTGAATCTTGTTACTACATTCATTTGTACAAACACTAATGTTCATTGCAAAACTCAGTGTCAAAAGGACAAACAGTTCATTTCCTAACATTAGCCACAGAGATATTCTTTTAAATATTATTGCACAACTCAAGAATGAGTATAGAAGAATGATCAACTGTCTCAATAAAGCATTGAGCACTTGAAGGAGATCCCGTGATCTGAACGTCTCAGCCTCGGTTGACTGCAAAAATGGTGAGTTCAGTTCTTGAGTTCTGCACAGATAATCAATGTAGTTGATTAATGTTGGTGTAACGAGTGTGATTTGCTGATTATGAATGAGGCTGATGATCAGTGCTGTTTCTCTCTCTAGATGACGGTGTTCGTCGTGGCTCTGCTTTCTGTTTTCACGGCGTCTGTTGTCTCTGGATTCAAGCCGTTCGACTGTTCTGAAATCTACAAATCAGGAAAAACTCTCAGTGGGGTTTACTCCATCTATCCAGCCGGCAACATTCCTGCCTCCGTTTACTGTCAGATGATTTCAAGTGGGAAAGGCGGAGAGAACGGAGGATGGACGGTATGAAATATAAATAATAATAATTATAAAATATTTTGGCCTTCAGAGTGATAAATGCAACCCATCACAGGTGTTTCAGAGACGAATGGATGGCAGTGTTAACTTCTTTCGGCCGTGGGAAGAGTACAAGAGAGGATTCGGGAATGTGGAGGGCGAATACTGGCTGGGTGAGTCTCATTATGGGTCATGACTGAACTTATAACCTTTACTGGATACTCAAGTCACTTCATTTCTCTCTTAAACTTTAATGATATAAAACAAATGTGTCATGTACAGTAAACTGAATATTAATGTAAAATGCTTAAATGTGATGGAGAGCGTTTGATTCTGTTATTAATTGTGGTTTAGCTGCTTAACTTTGTGTCCACAGGACTGAATGCAAGACACAAGCATACAATATGTGAAAGCAGGGGCGTTGCGAGGGGGGGCTTTGGGGGCTTAAGCCCCTGATGTATTGTCAAAAGCCCCTGATCTTTTGTTGTCACATGGTTTAAAAATATTCCGCCACTGCACGTCATTCATTATTATGAGCAGCTGAAGCTGATGAGCTAATAATACAACTGTTTCGCAAAACTGAATAGTTTTATAGCTAAGTTACAGATGAAGCTTAATATTTGTTTTTACAGCAGAAAATGTGTGTAGTTTTGGTGAAATAACACAACTGTAGGTAATCAATAAAATGTGCTGCACATTAATGTAAATACACACGAATTAGTCAGAAAAATGTAAATTGTACTTGCTTTCTAAATATGATATATATATATCTAGACATCTTTATCTAGGTATGATATAGCCAGTCATGTCTGTTTCTGTAATAGTTAAATCACAGTGAGTTCATGTATCTAGCATATTATTTTATGGCTATATTCTACAGTGATATGCTTTGTCAGTTAGCAGCGGATTATAAATCGACTTTCTTATGAAAATACCTAATGCCCCCGGGCCCCCGTTTATTTTTTAACACATTTCTTAACATAATAGTTTTAATAGCTCATCTCTAATAACTGATTTATTTTATCTTTGTCATGATGACAGTAAGTACTTGACTAGACATTTTTAAAGAAACTTCTATACAGCTTAAAGTGACATTTAAAGGCAGGTTAGGGTAATTTGGCAAGTCATTGTATAACGATAGTTTTTAATGCTGACTATCGGGAAAAAATATTGCTTAAAGGGGCTAATTATTTTGATCCTTAAATGTTTTTTTAAAAATGTAAAACTGCTTTTATTCTAGCCTAAATAAAACAAATAAGACTTTCTCCAGAAGAACAAGTATTATCAGACATACTGTGAAAATGTCCTTGCTCTGTTAAACATCATTTTGAAAATATTTAAAATAGGAAATAAAATGAAAAGGGGGCAATAATTCTGACTTCATCTACATTTATTGTCACAGTCGTGTAAATGATCAGTTTAAGCCTTTTTTATGGGTCCGTGTATCATCCGTTCATTTGATTATTCCTTTTATTACGGAAAACGAAACATCAGAAAAACGATGAATATTTCGTTTTTCTGTTTATTCTGTTGGCAGAAAAAACGGAAACTCATCTGTTATTCTGCTTATTAACTTAAAACGAAATATTAAAACAAACACAAAACCAAAACGAAATAATGAGTCAAAAAATGGTCTGTGTACGGTCCGTGTACGTTTTGTTCATTTGTTTTCCATTTTCAAACAGAATAAAGGAAATGGAGAAAACGCCCGTTTTTACGTTTTTCTTTTGCTCACGAGAAAACGAAAAAACGAGATTTTGGCTGGATTTTCGTTTTTTGGTTTAGGGTAGGAAAACGGATAAACGACTTTAAAATTCATTTTACACATGTAGGCGGTGCTGAAACGCCCACTTTCCTCTAATTGGTCAACCAAATCTGCGCTCGTGACGTCACCCTCAAAATAAAAGCCTTACACGCAGGCTTTTAATTAATATTATTTAATTATATATATAAACAAAGTTTACATATTCTATCATTTGAACCACACACAGTTAGCAGGCTTACATTCATTGCGTAAGTATAAATTAAATAAAAACGTAAATCAGCAGTATTCTTAGACATTTGTCATTAAAATAAGGTCATAGTTCACTGCCAATCTTCTTGCTGCTGTGCACCTGATGCTGAGCAAAGAAAGCCATATCCGAGCAGCACCTGGTTTACATGATTGTTTCAGAGCTATTGTAGGCCTAAATAATAGCCTACTCTGTATAAAATAATAATTTATTATTATTATTATTATTATTATTATTATTATTATTATTATTATTATTAGGCCTATTATTATTAGTATTGTTATTATTATTATTTACTTAGTTATTCAATGGTTGTAAGAACACATTGGACCCTGCATGGGGCGATAATAAATGGTACCATTTGTTTCTATTGGATTTTCTCCTATTTTAATTTAATATGCCTTTAGCCTATTGTAAATATTTATTTGATAATTATTACTTTTTTATTGCAAGGTCAAAGTAGGCCTGTCTTATTATTATTATTTTTTGTTATTATTTTGTCGTTGTTGTTGTTATTATTATTGTAGCAGGGACATAGCCACAGGTGTGGCAGAGTGTGCTGGTGCCACCCAAAGTGGCATCTTGCACCTGAAAATAGATGCCTTCGCGCTCAAGCGGGCGCAAAAAAAAACTTGCACAGGCAAAAGTAATGATGAATGTGTTGAAGGAAAAAAAAAACATTCTAATTATTTGTTAATAAAATAGTGCAACATTATTCTCAGTCAGTGTAGGCTGAAAAAATTAAGATCGCCAGCATTTCAAGGGTGGTTTTATTTTTAGTTCATTGCTGTGACGCGCTATATTTCACTAAGGCTGCATGAGACTGCGCATCTTGCTTATTTTCTCTATTTTACATACAGAACATATCATACAGTCCAGGTTCTACCGTTCTAGTGAGTGTGGGGCATTGCTTTACGGTGGTAAAGTGGATTATTTCTTGGCAAATTCATAATGATTCACTTTGTTTAGTAATAAATTTCATAGTTATAAAATAACTACATTTCAAGAATATGTTAACACTTTCAACTATTTAGGATTATTTATTGCATCAAAAGTAATTTCAAAGTAACATTAAATGTACGTATAAACTGCTTAATTTGTGTGTGTGTAAACACCTAAGATGCAAAAAGCTTATTTAGACCAGAATAGGCCTACTAAATGCAACGGTCTGTAACTAAATGCAACGGTAAATGCAATGTATGTAAACTTATGACCTAAAATGTCTTAAATGACTAAATTTAAGTCTTTTTAAGTTTTTAAATAATTTAAGTTTAACATTTAAACTTTAAACTTCAAATTAACAGAGTATGGCAAATAAATTGTTTATTAAATGGAGGTCAGGTGTCTATCTTAATTATAATTATTAAATATTATGAAACTACAGTGGTGTATTGGAGAGTACGCACCTTTTAATTAATTAATTTTAAATAAGTGGTTTATCCTAAATAAAATGCAATGGGATCGGTGTGCAATGAATAGTTTGAAAACCCCTGGTTCAGACTAGACGAGCTAGCTGTCTGTGCGCTGCGCTAATAACTTGGCATTTGCTCTTTTCGGTGCTGCCAGATGCATTTATAGTGCATAAAAAATAAAAAAGGTAATTCGGTAAAGCGCGCGATGCGCGCAGAAATAAGCGCACTATAAGCATATGTCGAATTAAGTTCTCTTTTTCTTTAATCAAGACTTTTCCATTCGAGGAATTACAGTTATTAATAGCTTAGTCCTTATAAACGATCAGTTTATAAAATACAAAATTTACGGATCAAGCCTAATGAAGAATAAGAAGAATATGCAACGCATGATCCTTGAATGATCAGAGCGCATTTATATAAACTATATATTTTATATAATCCATAAATATTAAAAAACATTATACATTTAAAGTAATGGAACATTATATGTTATAAAATCTAAACTATTATTTAGGCTACAGTACAGGCTGTTCAGCGCGTGCGTCAAAGAAAAGACTTGACACAATCTCTATAAAAACTTGTTGTTTTATTTACAATATCTAAAGGGATATAAAACATCTAACATGCATCTCCATTCTCAACGAGTTTCTGCGTTCTGCATCCTTCACAGACCGAGGTCTCATTCCGAGGTAATCTGTAAATATTCTCATTTGGTTTTGGCACATTCTTGATTAAAAGTGAAACTGACCGGTGCAACGGATGATTTGTCATCTAGAGTGACTACAGTTATAATACAGGTTATGGAACTATTTCACTTTAATTTCATATTATTATTTTATTAAACAAACAAACCAGTTTTTGTTTTGGCTCTGCATGCAGCGTATTGGATCTTTGAAGCATTGCACTTCAAATGTTATTCCTTTTTTTTTTTTGTATTTTTAATATTTTTAATTATACAACACAAAATTGGTTCTAAACAGATACATTTTCCTATAGGCTATGATGAAGTGTATATTTTTGTTCACACAGGTCCTATACAAAACTGTGTGGATGGATGATTTGTTTCTCCGTGAAAATCACTCATTTAATAAGCAAAACAGGCCAAAATGTTGTTTAGCTTGCGTCAAACTGGATGGACAATTTACAAACATATTGAATACAAAGGCTGGTTATTTTATGCAATGAGGGACCTATTACAAATTAAAGAAAATTATTTGCATATTAAAACGAAAATATATAATACAACAACAGATCCTACCTCGTAAGAAATGACTTTAGATAATGTAAATAAGCATCAAGTTTTTTTTTTTGAGATTGTGTGTCTAATTCAGTAGTGTAGTGCGTTCGCGTGGGTTTTCTCCGGGTGCTCCGGTTTTCCCCACAGTAGACATGCGGTACAGGTGAATTGGGTAGGCTAAATTGTCCGTACTGTATAAGTGTGTGTGTATGTGTGGATGTTTCCCAGAGATGGGTTGTGGCTGGAAGGGCATCCGCTGCATAAAAACTTGCTAAATAAGTTGGCGGTTCATTCCGCTGTGGCGACCCCAGATTAATAAAGGGACTAAGCCGACAAGAAAATGAATGAATAATGTGCAATACTAATTTAAAATACGTGTCACTAACCTTATATGTGAAATAGCAGGGCCCGCTGTAGCACTTTCTCAAGAAGAGCAAATGTCAAATTATTAGCGCAACGCACATGTAGCGAGCTCATCTGTTTGTCGGATCTACTAGACACAATTTTTTTTTATCAACTATCATGTGTTTAATTAGTTAATTTGAAATTTATTTCATTATTCCAGCAATACTTGTTGAGTGAAAGAATGCGCTAGAAATATGCATTGCGGCTCCCTTTATTGTACAGGCTTATTGCACTTAAACTTTTTTAGGTTCGGCTCTCGAATTAGTAAGGTTATGAGTAAATGTTATTTAAAATATTTAAAGCCTGCCATCTAGCCTACAATAACAGCAAATTTAATAATAAAAAAATAATAATAAGACAGGCCTACTTTGGCGTTGCAATAAAATAGTATTAATTATCAAATAAATAATTACAATATATAATTAAAATAGGAAGAAATAAATGAAAACAAATGGTACCCTTTGTTTTTATAGCAGGGCCCAAAGTGTTCTTATTCTGGTAACAACTATTAAAAAGAAGAAAAAAAAACACACCAAACAATAAAAACACTAGTAACTGATAATAATAATAATAATAATAATAATAACAATAATAATAATAATAATAATTATTATTATTATTATTATTATTATTATTATTATTATAAAGCCCTTGCTCTGAAACAATCATGCAAACCAGGTGCTCCTCGGAAATGGCTATCTTTGCTCTGCATCAGGTGCACAGCAGCAAGAAGATTGGCAGTGAACTATGACCTTATTTTAATGACAAATGTCTAAGAATACTGCTGATTTACGTTTTTATTTAATTTATACTTACGCAATGAATGTAAGCCTGCTAACTGTGTGTGGTTCAAATGATAGAATATGTAAACTTTGTTTATATAGGCTATATAATTAAATAATATTAATTAAAAGCCTGCGTGTAAGGCTTTTATTTTGAGGGTGACGTCACGAGCGCAGATTTGGTTGACCAATTAGAGGAAAGTGGGCGTTTCAGCACCGCCTACATGTGTAAAATGAATTTTAAAGTCGTTTATCCGTTTTCCTACCCTAAACCAAAAAACGAAAATCCAGCCAAAATCTCGTTTTTTCGTTTTCTCGTGAGCAAAAGAAAAACGTAAAAACGGGCGTTTTCTCCATTTCCTTTATTCTGTTTGAAAATGGAAAACAAATGAACAAAATGTACACGGACCGTACACAGACCATTTTTTGACTCATTATTTCGTTTTGGTTTTGTGTTTGTTTTAATATTTCGTTTTAAGTTAATAAGCAGAATAACAGATGAGTTTCCGTTTTTTCTGCCAACAGAATAAACAGAAAAACGAAATATTCATCGTTTTTCTGATGTTTCGTTTTCCGTAATAAAAGGAATAATCAAATGAACGGATGATACACGGACCTTTATGTTTATTCAGATCTTATTTTCATTCAACTCCAGCAATAGCTGGATTCCTTAATCCATAATATTAGGGTTTTCCTGGAATATTCTACAACTTTTGTGAGGCATATATGGAATTTCTGCTCAAGTTTGAATGAAACAGGCATTACATGCATTCAAAATGCTACAATGCCCACATCAACCTGAGGAAAACTAAAAATCTCCCTCTAAAGAAATTTAAAGTAAACACATTTCTAGCATTTAAATCTTTATTTTTTTGTACTATGTTTGATACAATTGTTTAAAAAAAAAGCCCATTGAATATCAATATTTTGCGAGGTATTGAATTTAGAAATTCCAGTATTTTGACAACACTACACCTCAGTTAATCACTCTGTCCAAATAAACAACATGTGTGTAGCTTTGTATAACATTGGATAACAACTTGGTCTATAAAATAAATCATATTTTCAGATTTGAAGACATGCAGAAATTTTTATTTTCAAAAAACAAACAGAAACTACAAATCAGGAGAAGAGATAGGAGGCTCAAGGGGCATATGATATGGCTCATATCAGAATAGTAAATAAGAAGTGAGTAATTTATAATTTTTTTTTACTTTTTGGTGTTACAAGTCACAAAGCTTCACAATTTATTGTTATAGACTGTCAACTCAAAAACCATTTATTTATCATTAAACCATCTCTAATCCTAATATTAAGATTAGAGTAGATCAACTTATGAAAGAGGGTTTTTTTTTGGTTTGGGGGGGGGGGGGGTTATCCCTTTCGACCCTAGCAACGCCCCTGTGTGAAAGTACAGCTAGAGGATGTTCAATTATGCATGCATGCAGGTTCAGCTTCCAGTTTAGGGATAGAGAAGGGCAATAGAAATACAGTTTGTACAGTTTAAAAACAATAGAAAACACTGTTTGCAGGGTTTCCTCTAGGATATTTTCCAGCTGTGGCGGCAGGCCGTTTTTACACACCTCTACCAACTGTGGCCTTATTTCAATAGACAAATGTCGAGAGCGCAGTATAACAAGTTCGAGATCGCATTTATGTAATAGCCTACAGCATGTGAATCTCTTTGCTTGCGCGCCGATTTCCTCTGCTCGTGCACAAAACTTCTCGCACGCCCTCAAATATACGCTGCTCAAGCTCAGATCTTCTTGTGCGCTCTCATATAAACTGAGCTGAAGTGAGATTTAGTGTGTTTATGTAACGAGTATGTCTCCAGCATTTATTAGATTTGCTAGGAACATTTATGAATGTCTCTAATAGACCTAAAGAGCGGCATTATGCGTCCTGAAGTAAAGTGAAATGGCTATACGTCGTGTTTGCTGGCCTCACGCATCACACACCTGTCAGTCAGCCAGTCAGTCAGGATGTAACCTTAAAGGGTTAAACAAACAACACACAGCACTACTACGGTTACAGAAAAATTTGTGCTGTTATAATTCACTTGCCTTTTAATATGTTTTAGTGCCATTATCACCTGCTATTAAAAAAACACGACTGAATGTTTTGAATGAGAAGCTGTAATGTAGCCGTGGTGGGATCAATTTTGGCATGGCGAAGAATAAACGTAGTGGAAACCATTGAATGTCTACAAAATTCACAAAAACAAATTGTGTGTGTGAACAGGGTTGGAGAACCTCTATCAGCTGACACGCCACAAGAAGTTCATGCTGAGAGTGGATCTGGAGGACTTTGAAGGAAGGAAAGGTTTCGCTCAGTACTCGTCCTTCTCTGTGGGTTCTGAAGCTGAAGGGTATAAACTGCAGGTGTCTGGATTTACTAATGGAGGAGCAGGTACAACACTTTCATTCACACTCATGATAACTCATTTGTTTTTGTTTTTATTGTCCTCAATGATGTTCCTCCTCTCTGCAGGAGACTCACTGATCTACCACAGTGGAATGAAGTTCACCACATATGACAAGGACCAAGACACTCATACACAGAACTGTGCCAGAATATATGTCGGGGCATTTTGGTATAAAGACTGCCACAATGCGAACCCCAATGGTGTGTACTTAGGGGGAGAAGACAAGACCTTGTTTGCCATTGGAAATGTTTGGTACACCTGGAAGAACAATTTTGAAATTGGTATGAAATTCATCACCATGAAGATCAAACCTGTGTATTAAATATTTACAGACACAAAACAAAAACAACTAAGCAACAACATTAAGGCTTAAGTGTTTAAGTTCTGCTGTCTGCTTACTGTGTTAACAGTCTTTCTTTTTGTTTTGGGTCAATTTTCTCCAAACAAATCAATAATGAATTTGAATAAACTCCTGCAATGAAAGGCATCACGTGTTGATGTGCATTTATTTGTCTCCACAGTGGACATCGGAAACAGTGAATGAGGAAATCAGCTCATATTCAATTAACTTTCCCTATAAATACAATGCTGAATGTGAATAATGAATGCATTTCTCTCAACACACATTTTGCATCATCCAACTGATTTGAAGGTGATAAAATGCTGTAATTTATGAGCACTTGAGTTTACACTGTACTGTAGCCCACGTGACTAACACAACATATTTCAAGATCATTACTAATTATCCCATAATATTATAAAACATTGATTCTACGTACTCTCTGCCTGTTCAATACATCCACTTTTTCTTGATTGTGCAAACATTTAGGGCACATTTCATTTAAGATAATTCAAACAGGAATACATGAACTACATACAAAGTCTATTTGGTGAAAGTAAAACATCTGCACACTTATGTGTGGACGACCGGCTCATCTTGTGGAAGACCGGCACGTTTCTGAAATTGGGTGTGAAAACAGTATTTCCATCAGTGGTGTCCCTCAGTTCCCTCTACCCTCTCTTTATTCACTCCAGACCATCCTCGCCAATTCCCTTTCCATCAAGACCTCCATCACCAAACCATCTGTAGAAACTGCAGAATGTTACTCCCCTTCCAGTGACATGGTTGGGGCTACTGTAAGGGGTAAATTTAGTGTTGGTGTTAATAAAGCACAAGAGGTTGTCATATTCAACACATTAAATCAATCAGTCACAAGCCCAGAAGGTTTCTACAGCGCACTTTTCAGCCCGCTCAAGTCCTGCACATTCGAGCTGGCCTCCATTTAATACACAACTCATTTTCTCTTGCCTCCATACTCCTGCATACTTGCCTCATATTCTTCTGCCTCCATTCCTCAGGCCATGAGAAATACACTGAAGATGCCCAATAACAAAGCTACATCTGACCCTCGACTTCCCTGCTGCACTGAGCCTCTTTACATAGCCAAGAAGCATAAAGGACTGACATATTATTAACAGCTCCATCACCAGGCCACTAACCAGCCTGGTTAAAGTGAAACACTAGTCTCTGTCCTGTGGAAGCATTGCCAAATCAACATTGCCAAAATCATTGCTTCATCACTGAACCACTCCTAATACAACCTGATCCCATCAAACCTTTCAAAGTCCCAGCAGCAGGTGAACCCAGCTTATCTTCATCTCTGTGTCATCTTCTCTAAAAAACACTCTTGTGAAGAGGAACTAGAGCAGTATGACATCGGCAACTATAAGGTCATCCCGATCAAACTTGTTCTAGAAGAATGGAGGCACTGTCTGGAAGATTCCCAACAGTCATTCACAGTGTTAACCAACTATAAGAAGCAGTGGCATAGCGCAAAATGCGGAGGTACGTTATGGTACGATGCGAATCGGCGGCAAGCAGTCAGAATGAAGTAGTCCAGCGCTTGAGAGGAGTTTGAAGTGAATTTTATACTCTTTAAAGTGTGAAGTTAATCTATATATTCAAACTGTATGTGTATAATCTGCTTGTAGACTTGCATACCATTAAAACAATTAAGGTGCTATGTAGAGTTAGAAAGAGGAAATGGCCTGAGGAAACAACTAAGGGTCACAAGAAATGGATGAGAAGAGAGTGGTAGAAAGCCTGAGGTGTCTTAGGAAATGGATGAGAATAGAGGTTATTAGGTGGAAATTGGGGTCAGGGGTTAAACTAGGAGGGATCTTGTGTGACATATGTAGAACAAAGGAAAAACTGTTGTAAAAGAGTATTTCAGCAGGCCAGAACATCAGTGAGACAGAATTTTTCAGACTGAGATGCTACTGAGGGTCTTCTGAAAATTCTTCTTTGTTGTCGACAATAAAGTATACTCTTCTGAGATTCATAACCTCCAGACTGAGTTTGATTTATGAAGAGAAAAACCGAAAACCACCACAAGTTCAGAGAACACGTACAGACCTGTGAACTTTGGTTCCGACCACAGTTGTTCCCAAGAGTTTGATTATTGCGGTTGCCGGATTTTCAATTATTGAAAATCGCGACGACGTGGGGCCCCCTAATCACGCGGGCCCCCTGTCCGCTACGCCACTGATAAGAAGTCTGAATATGGCCCTATCATCTGAATATCATCCACAGTCAAATGACCAGATGGGGGTAGAAGTTCTGGGACAATTGTGCAATTTCTGTGGAGTTTCTGCCTCGGCCACCAGAGCTCAGGAAACCCGCTGGGCATAGTCTCTAGGCCTGTCTGACTATGCTCAAAACTCCTTTCATCAGACAACTTCTAATCTCATTTGCCTCCAATATGTACAAAGCCACACTGGGTGTGTATTGTCATGGACCTGCCAGGCTCTCTTCATCGCTCACTGTGCCTGGAGATCTAACCATCAGGAACTGCACTTTGACAATCAGCCACATTACTTTCTTCAACATGCCTCTCTCTGGAAAACTTCAGACCAATTTATACTTCTATGTCAAGTGCACAAGGTAGGTCCGGCATTCTGTCACAGAGTTGCACACTCTTCACCTTACCCTGATGTGCACTGCTCAGAAAGTGCCACTACACATTGTGACTGCCAACACAGAGCTCAAGGTATGATTAGTTGGATTGGGCGCAGTGATGAGTGTGGGTGGGCAAACAGCCGTGGGGTTGGAGTAGGGTTAGGGATGGGGTTGGGTGTGCTTATTAAAAGCTCTGTAGCATGTCCAGGATCACTGACTCTTTCAGACCAGAGGACGAACTGTCATACTTGCTACTGGACTGACGTTATAATAATGAATTTACATTCACTTGGTTCAGGTTAGTCTTGCAGGTTGTTCGGGTTTGACAACAGAAAGCTAGGTCACTTTAAAGTGACTGGTGTGAGCTGGTAACCCTGAGCATTCATCATTTACATCGAGTATTGACTTTTAACCTGAACTTGTGCATGATTTGGGGCATAAACCTGGGAATGAGACGGGTCCATTCATCAGTTGACCGATAGAAACACAGGGTCCATTCTGATGTTCTGGACGATTTGCCAACATACTCTTGCATGACATGTACATGATCACTAGTTAGTATCTCAACACTGCGCAGTGCAGAAGTGACTGAGATGACAGATGCTCTCACTGATAAAAACCTCTGCTGGAGATGAAGACTGAAGTGACTCGACAACTGTGTGAATGTGTTTCTATAATTCAGCTAAAAGTAAAGCAGCATTTTGTCCTCATGTCAGAGGTGTGTTGATTCTGAATTTTCCTGCATGATTGTTTCCAATAAAACAAAAAGCCATTAAATAATAAGAGAAGCATGACATGACACTTTAAGATTCAGTTCATGCAAAGGATGAACAGTTTTGCAATACAGGTTTAACAGAAAGGAGGAGTCTGATATCTAAATCTATTATTTTATACGTTGAAGAACACAAGGCTGAACACAAACGGTGAGTTACTGTTTAATTCCTCTTTTACCCCTTCTACAACAGAATAATGCAGGAAAATAACCAGAAACAGCAATAATCTGAGTGTTTTTGGGTTTGGTTTACAGAGATCTACTGAGAAGATGGCAGTAAGTTCACATTATAGAGTCTGTTTTTACTTCTGTCATGATGTCGGTGTGATTTGCTGATTATGAATGAGGCTGATGATCAGTGCTGTTTCTCTCTCTAGATGACGGTGTTCGTCGTGGCTCTGCTTTCTGTTTTCACGGCGTCTGTTGTCTCTGGATTCAAGCCGTTCGACTGTTCTGAAATCTACAGATCAGGACAAACAGTCAGTGGGATTTACTCCATCTATCCAGCCGGCGACATTCCTGTCTGGGTTTACTGTCAGATGATTTCAGATGGGAAAGATGAAGAGAACGGAGGATGGACGGTATGAAAACATAAATATTAGGAATTATAAATTATTTCAGACTTCAGAATTATAAATGCAACCCATCACAGGTGTTTCAGAGGCGAATGGATGGCAGGATTAACTTCTATCAGCCGTGGGAAGAGTACAAGAGAGGATTCGGGACCACCGAGGGCGAATACTGGCTGGGTGAGTCTCATTATATGTTTGAACTTATAACCTTTACTGAAAATTAAATTTCTCTGCAGTACATAAGAACATATCAAATCCATGTGCTGTTTACTTTAGAGAAAGACTGCCTTAACTGAATGTAAATATCTGACAAAATGAAGATAGATTTGCTCTAACAGCGTGTCCTATAGTTCTCTGTAAGCCATTAGCATGAGAGTCTAGCTCAGGGATGGGCAAACTTGATCCTCGAGGGCCGGTGTCAAACACACCTGAACATGCTAATCAGTGTCTTTAAGATCACAAGTAATCTATAAGCAGGTGTGTTTGATTAGAGTTGGAGCTAAACTGTGCAGGACACCGGCCCTTCAGGACAGAGTTTGCCCACCCCTGGTCTAGCTAATCTCTTTTGTTACAGATTTGTTGTGCTAGGTATCCTTTGCAAAGAGTGCAAAAAAGTGATAAGGTTTGCTTATTTACCAGGTAGCAAAGAATTATGGCCCATATTTGGCATAAGTCTGGCCCAGCAGGCATTCATCCAGCACTGGCGTACAGCATGTGGGCCAGACATGACCCGGGTTTGGCAGAAGTGGCACCGTATTTAGGGCGGCACACAATACCTGGACCAGATATCATATGTAGTATTTGGCCCAGATTCTAATAACTGATATGTGGGCCGTGTAAGTTTGGCCATGTTTTGACCCACATTTAAATACATTTTTATTATTTTTGAATAAAGGAAAAAAAATCTACCAATCAGGTCACTTCGAGAAAAAGCACACCCATAGCGCAGCTAAAAGGCAATGCTTCATGGGTTCATTCATTTCATTGCAGTTGTGACACCAACACATCTGGCCCAGTTCAGGCTCAGTTATGAGTTATTAAATTGGCTGAGACTCGGCTCAGATATGCTCCATGTGAGGCTCTTGTCTGGAAGCCAGACTTGCTTCAGTCATGTACTGTAAATCACCGCAGCACATGGGCCAAGCAACAGCTGATTGTGTGGGCCAGAGCTGGGCCAGAGATATTTTGTTATGTGGGTTGGTACTTTTAAGAGTGGGAATGGACATAAAATGTGCTGAACTATATGCCTTAGTGGAAGTGGGCCATAAGTTTATGCTTTGTTTTTTGTGTCCTGTTTTTTCCTCGTGTTTCACTTGTTCCTTTGAATTCTTCCCGGGTTTGTTCCTCATTTCTCCGGTGTTTCAGTATTCTGTACAATTTGTGTAATAAATAGACGTTTGAACTGGATCCTGATGCTGCTTGACTCTTGAGTTCACCTCCATGACAAATGTGCAGTGATTGGTTCAACATGTTCTTTGTGTGTGTGTGTGTGTGTGTAAACAGGACTAGAGAACCTCTACCAGCTGACCCGCCACAAGAAGTTCATGCTGAGAGTGGATCTGGAGGACTTTGAAGGAAGGAGAGGTTTCGCTCAGTACTCGTCCTTCTCTGTGGGTTCTGAAGCTGAAGGGTATAGACTGCAGGTCTCTGGATTCACTGATGGAGGAGCAGGTACGACACTTTCATTCACACTCATGATAACTCATTTCTGTTAAGTTATTATCCTCAACTATGACTTTTGTCCACAGGCGACTCTTTGACTGATCACAATGACCAGAAGTTCTCCACCTTTGACAAAGATCAAGACGCCTATGGAGATAACTGTGCCCAAGAGTTTTTAGGGGCATTTTGGTTCAAATACTGTCACAACACAAACCCCAATGGTGTGTATTTATGGGGAGAAGATGACACACATTTCGGCATTGGTGTGGTTTGGTCAACCTGGAAGGACAGTTTCACTGTCAGCATGAAATCTCTCAGCTTGATGATCAAATCCAAGTCTTAGAAACAGTGAACATCTAAAACATGTTCTTAACTATGCCACTCAGCAAAACAATAACCATTAAAATGATTTATCTTCTGCATGTTAGTGCATTTTTTTTTTTGACAAACAATTATTCAGTTTTGTTAATCTTTAACTAAAATTTGACCATCTGCTTCCCCTCTGACATGGCTGTCCTCTGATGATTCTGATTGGGCGAAATATGCTTAGCCACACCCCTCCAACCATTAGTTTGCTAAAAGTAAAAAATCAGAGGCGTGACTCAAAACAATCTCCCGCTCCTTCCCAATATTCTATTTCAGTTGGAAATGCGTCATCATACTGAAATACAAATGTTACGTTAGTGTTCACTTTATTTTATTGAAAGTGTTAATCCTAAAAGAAGTTCAGATACATCCACCTAAAACGGCAGGGCAGTACGGACTTCCCAAAGAAGATTGTTCAGAGACGGGCATTTACAAACAAAATGTAGTAAGATTGGACAATTTCAGACCAGAAACGAGACACACACTTATAGCCTCGCACCAGAAATACTGATAGAGGAAGGGAGTTTGTGGTATTTGACTAAATTTTATGAGGGCAAATGAACTTTTACTTTTTAAGTGCACAGACACATTGTTTACACAAAGCACTCTTCATATAAAAATTAGAGTCAATTAGTTTACTTTATGTATGTTGAAATTATTTGTAAAGTTTATTTGATTCAACTTTAACAATTAAAAGCAGCAAAATTTTTTGTGAAATGTGCTCGTCCTCTGTGTTTTGACCAACAGAGGGCGCTGTCAGAACAGCTTCGTGTTGTTTTCTTGTTATTCATACAGAAACACACACCAGGCCTCACTAGAGTAAACTGAACTGCAGCTCTATATAGGCACTCTGTATTATCACACCTTTCTATTATGTTTGATATACTGGCAGCTTTACACTCTTTAAAATAAAAATGAAATGTTTGGTGCATTACACAGACTATTTACTTACTTTGCTCAACTGTTTACAACATTTGGTTTCCACTTCTGTAACATTAATCTGAATTTACATTCAATCCTGAGGAAATTGTGAATTTCAGTGGCTTGTTTCAAATAGGGTTATTATGATTATTCAGATATTCAGACACCTTGCTGTGTGATATTTTCTCTGGATCATCTTGGAGATGTTTCTTGGAGTACACCACGGCAAATCGTACATTTTTTGGAAATTCACTCCGGCCTACAGTATGTAGGTTTCAAGAGTTCACACTTAGCTGATGATTGATAATAAAGCATGTTTGGCATGCTGTCCCAGGAGAGAGCCCTGAGCTTAGACTATGCTTGAGCATGGGGCTCCCTCCCGTTTGAAGGGTGAGAGGAGAGTTTGAGCTCAGGTGGGTCTCGAGAACTCCTCCAGTTGTGAACTGCTGAGATATATCTGACCAAGAGTTGCCTTAGGATGCTATTTTGAAGTAGTCAATTTACTTGTGTATGTCTTTGTATGGTGGGAGGAATCCGGAGAACCCGGGGAAAACCCACGCGAACACGGGAAGAACATGCAAACTCCGTACAGAAACACTGATCAGCTCGGAGGTGCCTGAACCAGCGGCGTTCTTGCTGTGAGGCAACAGTGCTACCCACTGGGCCGGCGTGCCGCCCTATCAGAGATGGGGAGGAGTGTGGGTGGAAGGGGGGATTCTTCAAGACAAAGATGAGAGGTGTAGAAAGCTCTGGTTATTAATAGTGTGTCCGTATTCATCTGATTGGTGCAGATGTACGGAGCTAATGCAGCACCAGCTGTGTTTAATCATTAGCATGTGATCCTCTCGAAATTAGTTTATAAATAAACCGCACTTAAGTCTATATAAATGTCAAATGAATAAAGGGGACTGCATTAAAATGCAGATCTGAAAATCACTGCAAAGCTTCTTTATAATGGGGTTCATCGCGAATTCCCGACATGATTAAGCGTAAACATAACATTAATTCAGCATGAATATGTCCACAAGCATCATGTGTTCAACCAACTCAAAGATAAATAAAAGGTAGTTCACGCTGTTTGTTTTAACTCAGTCTTGCTGGCAAACTAAGACTGAACTAATATTTTACATCCTTCAGTGGTGTTATAATCTTGGTTTGTCTGTGTATTTTTACAACTTTGGCTCAATTATAGATCCTGTGAGTTCTGGCTTAAGGTGCGATTATATGAACAATCATCCTCTTGTGCATTGTTGAGGTGTGATATTTACCATGTAAGATGACATCATTGTTGAATTAGAACTTGTTTTTCTTCATTGCATTTACACCCAGTTATTATTCAGGATGTTTAATGCCTGTCCTCCTCCACCAGCTCCTACCACCTCCCTATCAGCTGAGGATTTGACCTCCTTTATTACTCAAAAAACACTCACTTATTTTCACTGTTTGATTACATGTCAGCATCAGTTTTGGGACTAAAAATGTGGAAGTTTTTGCAAATGTCACCTTTTTCATTGTCATGTATACCACGAAAGCGAGTGTATGAAAAGTCTATGAAAAAGTCTGTTGCGTCATGTGCACACATGGTTTGTGCAACGTGGAATGTAGATTAAAGGCAAGTGCGAACAAACACACAACAATGCTAAAGAAAGTGAAGCGTTTTCTAGACACAAACACATTGTCATTTATTTTTCAGAAATTAAACGAGTTTTTAAAAGGCAAGGTAATCTGTCAATGGGCTATGTAAAACAATCTGGGTTTTGTCAACATATCAACATTGCTTTCTAGTCAAAATATTTTTACAAATCTTAAATCAAGAAGCATTTTCTAGAATACTGTAAAAATATTGTCTTGTTTTCAGAGAGTTTTTCAGGGTAGGCAAAATAAAAATAACAGCATTATTTTGCTTACCCCCTTTGCTATCGAGTGACTGATGCTGTTGGTTTGATGTCACTGACATTTAATTCTTCATTTTATTAAAGTGGTCTGAAGCAACATGTAATTTTACTCTTTACATCCAATACCCTGGGAACAGACAGAGCAAACTGTGGAGAAAACCTTCCCTGAGAACAATGGATGGCAAACACCTGATCATCTGAGATGACCAAGATCACAATCAAATATTATTCGATCGAAACATTTACAAAGTTTTGTTTGACTATGAATTATCTGACAAGTCTGTGTTTGTCCAGGATGTGTTGTCGGGAGAAAAGGGCATCTGTATGTCCTTCTTACCAGTCAGTTGTGTTGTAGGGATAATCGTAAATGGTTTGGATGTAGTGTATGATTTATTCAATTAAATGGATTGGTTTTGTACGCAATACAAAATATCTATATTGCAATTTGTTTGACTGGCTGTAGCATTATGGTGATCCTTGTAATAAGAATGTACCTTTAATGTAAAAAATGTAATATCTTCATGGCTAACAAATGCAGAATAAAGCCTGGTTTATACTTCTGCGTCAAGTGACCGGCGTAACCCACGGCGCATGCAACACGCGTAGCTGTGCATTTATATTTCTGCTGCTGTCTCTGTTGGTCTGCATTAACACTTCTGAAACACTAGTGGGCAGTGAAGTGTAAATGTTCCTCTGTGTCGAGTTTCTTCGCTGCTGTTTTGTTTGTTCTGAATGCTTCCTGAATGTACAAGTGGCTCAAACTCGCTCATTTTGAGGCAGGAACCGGCGGACGTGCAGCAACTTCAACCATGAGGTAAACACAAAACAAAACTTTCCATCCGGAGCTCCTTCACAGGACTCCACACTTGTAAACAATCGCTCCTTTGGGCTCGCATGGCTATCGGTCCCGCCCAGACTCGTCAGCATCACCAAGCCGACCAATCACAGAGCTTGTGCTACGCGTCATTGCGATGTGTAGTTACATTTTTTGAGAGGTGCACGTCAGCGACGCCGACGGCCACGGAGAGGGCTATGCATCCACGGGTAGGCTGTGCCATAGCATACACGTGCGCCTGACGCAGAAGTACAAATCAGCCTTTACTGTCAAAGATGTTTCTGTTTCTTTGAAAGACGGCTGTCTATTAACCCTTTAGAGGGCACTATAAAAACCCTGGAGTGCTACTTAGGGACAACTTTCATGACTTAAAAATTTATATTGTTTTGCCCAATGGTAAAGACGTTAACATATATGGTTCTTTCCCTAACAAAGGGTCAACCTTTCCTAATCAACGTTGGATTCCATTAAACAATGGCAGATATGTTTTATTTTTTTAATTTAAACAACTTCCAACAACATTATGATGGCAATTTAATTCAATTGGACCTATGATTTAGTATATTTTAAAAGCTGATTTGTTGCTTAGTGAAATTTTAGCTACAAAAAGGTCCTGTCAACATTGGAATGTGAAAATAAGGGATATGCCCACCATAATAAGGGATCCTCCCCTTAAAATAATCCCCAAATTACTATGTTCATTTAGAGCTGTTTCATTGTAAATAAACAGTTAAACGGTCAGTAATATGTCTTACAATTATAATTAACAAAAGAAAAATAAATATATACATTAGCAGCAAATACATTAGCAAACAATTCAGCTTATTAAAATTAATAGCTATAATGAAATAGAATCAAGCTATCAAACTCATTAGTCGTTTCTCTATTGTATAACTCACACATTCTGATTAAGAAGCAACAGATGAATCTCACAATTATTAAGATATTTTTTTACTTCAAATAAAAGGTGTCTCTTTAAAAATGCACACACATTATAATGAAAGCATTCGACTGCTTTGCAAACATTTTATGCTTATCTAAGACAAAATTAGTTGTGTTTGGAAAAAAAAAAACCACCAAGATCGACATCCTTATATGTTATTATTATTAATTATGTGTGTATGTCTGTTTTAACATGCACCCAAAAGCCAGACTTTCTCTCCTGTACAGAATCGGTTTGGGAAACAGCGTCTGTTTATCACTATGAAGCACATCAGCTGACCGTCATGCACCATTATATGACTGGTTTGAGAATTGTATAGGATGGGCGACGACACCTGTAACCAAAAGGAAATGGAATCACACCGTTTTTAATATTTATTTATAAGCGTTTTCATTCCTAAACAAAGCGAAATCACAGAAGACTCATGTTTTGGAGCAAGGCGCGACCCCTGGTGGTTCGGAGGTATGGGTTGTGTATAGGGAGGCTCGGCTGTTCAGAGAAAGACTGAAAATACGGGAGAAATACGGGAAAATACCTTTACGGGATGATAGCGGGATAGAACCGTTAAATACGAGAGAATCCCAGGAAAAACGGGAGGGTTGACAGGTATGAAAGGTGGGACGCTCAAGTTGAAGCGATACTTATTAAAAGCATCCCGACATGACAAAAACTTCCATTTGAGAATAACAAGAATATAAGTGTAAGCAATTTGAGGCCAAGGCATTTAAATCAGTCAAACAGCACAGGAAACATTAATGAAATTTATCAAAGAAACTAAATATGAACTGACAATTCATTGTGATGAAGCCTACAGAAATGTGTATCTGTGTACAAATTCGTCTGGATTTGTATTTACTTCACAACAGAAAGTGTCTCTGTCAACGCATATTTGACTGGGATAACGCATTACAGGTATCAGTTTTAATTTGCACACAAAATGTGTTTTTCAAAAGTAAACGTGTGCTGTAACAGAGGAGGAGCCCGAGATTCAGGCAGATATAAAGAGTGTGTTAGTTTGATTGAACAACACAAACGGTGAGTTACTGCTGCTACTTACATCAATCTATTCAAATATAATTTATTTTTGTATTATTTTCATCCGGATAAAACCGATTTCAACTGTGATCACCTGTGGAGAGTTCATGATGGCAGTAAGTTAATAATTAACTCTATATTCCAAGACAGGCTGATTGGGAATGCGTGCCCAGGGCTACATATTTGAGAACTATATGTGTCCTGATCTACGTATGGCTAAGTTTGTGTGTAAAACGAACACTACAGGTAAGTATGACGCCACAGACCACTTTTGTGTCTTTTTGCGTTACACCATTCACAAATGGGATTAGATTTGGGATTGGATTTTCAAGTTCAGCGAAGGACTGTTCCAGAGACCAGGTAAAACGAAAAAACAAAAACCAATTAACAAGAGGGCAGTGAAATTATGGTAAAAGTGTGCAGCTGCGATAGCTTTTCTCGTCTAGTTTTTGGTTGGGCGTCCTCTGGTGCATTTGTGAAAACACAAACTGCAAGCAGACATAACTCTGGCACATATTTCCCAGATCTCAAATATGTAGCCCTGGGAACGTATCTCCAATGAGCTAGGGTTGCTATCGTCTTTTATGTTCCTGTTTTCCACCTCATTCAGTGTAATGCTCATCTATTCCTCTCCTGTGTAGTCGATGGTGTTTTTGGTGGCTCTTCTCTCGATTGTTCTGGTGAACGGATGCAGTGAGGATGAAGACTCACCTGTCGACTGTTCTGACCTTAAAAAAGCAGGAGAAACTCTGAGTGGGGTTTACACCATTCATCCAGCCGGGGAAACTCCAGTCTGGGTTTACTGTCAGATGGTTTCAGATGGGAAAGATGAAGAGAACGGAGGATGGACGGTACGAGTGTGACTATTATTTAAACACTCATCAGAACACACACAATGAATAATACATTATATATAAACCCATCACAGGTGTTTCAGAGGAGGATGGACGGCAGTGTGAATTTCTATCGGCCGTGGAGAGACTACAAGAGAGGATTCGGGAATGTGGAGGGAGAATACTGGCTGGGTGAGTTGGTTTGGCTGTCTTTGTGCAATGTTTGGTTCAAAATGTTCTTCATGTGTGTGTGTGTGTGTGTGTGTGTGTGTGTGTGTGTGTGTGTGTGTGTGAACAGGGCTGGAGAACCTCTACCAGCTGACACGACACAAGAAGTTCATGCTGAGAGTGGATCTGGAGGACTTTACTGGAAGGAAAGGTTTCGCTCAGTACTCGTCCTTCTCTGTGGGTTGTGAAACCGATGGCTATAAACTGCAGGTTTCTGGATTCAAGGATGGAGGAGCAGGTACAACACTTTCATTCCCATTGCATTCACAGTTGAGTAAACATACACATGATGTCCTCAATGATGTTCTTCTTCTATGCAGGCGACTCAATGACCTACCACAATGGAATGAAGTTCAGCACCTTTGACAAGGACCAAGACAACTTTGACAAGAGCTGCGCCAGACTTTATCTTGGGGCCTTTTGGTACAATAACTGTCACCATGCAAACCTTAATGGTGTGTACTTGTGGGGAGAAGATGCCACCATTTTTGCCATTGGAAATGTTTGGTACGGCTGGAAGAGCAATTATGGGATTGGTATGAAATCCATCACCATGAAGATAAAGCATGTGCCTTAAATGTTTGAAGAAACTAACAACACAACGATGACATCAAGGTTCAAGGGTTTCCCTTTCTCTGTCAGTGATGAAACGTAGTAAACTGTGTAGTAAATCAATCATTGTTTTCTTCTATTTTGGGTCACTTTAACCTGTTAGCCAGCACTCAATTTTGGGGATTTACACCTAGCTAACTTTAAATAGCTTTAAATTTACACCTAGCTAACTTCCTGACTCCAGTAAGCTACAAACACAAATGATGTATCATTGGAAAGAAGACACTTTGAGCTTTACTGTTGGTGCAGTGTTCAATATTTGTTTTTCATATAGAAACGCAGGAAAATATCAATGTAATGTCCTGGAAAAAATATGACTTGAAAGCCAAGTATTTCATGTGTTCATATTTTAAATTTGATGATGAAAGCATGCGAAATGAGATTTCTGTAAAAATGTCAATGTCCTTCTCTCCCTCACCGTCAGAGGCACTTTCTCAAAAATATCTTCCCAAAGCTAAAACATTTACAGTTGCTGAATGATTTGGTCTACATTCACAGTTCATGTATCATTGGAAAGAAGACACTCTGGGCTTTATTATCCATCATCTAGTGTTTATAATGCTCAAACTGAAAAAATGTTATGGATGCTTAAACTCACTAAATCTGAAATGAATCAATAATAATCGTCAATAAACTCCAGCAATGAAAGGCATTTCTGTGTCAGTGTGCATGTGTTCGTCTCCACAGTGGACATCTGAAAAAGTAAATAAGGAATTCAGCTCATCTGCTCACAAACTGACAATCTCTCTCCATAAACACTATCCTAATGCAATTGTGTAAAGAAAAGAAGCAATAAAGGAGCTGTATGTATGTTTTTGACTCTTAAAAATACCATCATATGTTTGCAGATATTTAAAAAACAAGCCAAGTTTACTTGCTTATCTGAAAAACAATGCTAAAGTCAGATATACAGGTAAAATATCCCCAAAAATTAGACACTGAAACTCTCACAAAAAAGTCAACAGAGTACATGAGAAGAACGCAACACTGTAGAGTCCACAATAGTAATGCACAACCACTGGACAGAACTGCTCACTCCTGTCTAGACTTTCTGCTCAGTTTCATTTTATTTATTTTTTGTTCTGTTTCTGCCAGCATTAACCACTCCTCACCTGAACGTCATGTAGTTAATAATCCATCAGTTTGTATTTAATGATAAAGTCTAAAAGGATTACAGTTTCAGATACTTCGGCATGCACTCGTCAGCATAGTTTTCGTGATACTCTACAACAATGAAGACAGTTTTTAGGTTACTGTAAGGGTCAGGTTTGGGCTGGATGTTAATAAAACTATATGATGGGAATTTAATAAACAAAAAATTCAGATCAACTTCCCTTCTAGAATCAACCATATGTATTCCCTTTATTTCTTCACTTTATGAGGAAAGCCAAGAGAATCATCAGTGACTCCAGCCACCCAAGCCTCAGACTTTTCTCTCTGCTCCCCTCAGGCAGACGGTTTGTTTTTGTATACTGCTGAAATGCTCCTTGGTTGTCTTTCACGTAGTAGATACTGGTTATGATTATTATTGCAGTGGGTGCATTTTTCTGTGAGTGTGGTATAAATTGACCATGACATTTTCATAAATGTTTATTTTCGATTTTGGTTGTGAGCGATCTGTTGGTGGTGATATTTCAGAGATGAAAAATATAAATATTTTGATGCGAACTCATTTGTGTACATCTTTGTGTATTTGTTTGTTATGTATAGTTGTGGTTGGTGGCTTATCTGGGCTAAAGTAAAATGTGTAATATTGACGGATTTATTCCGTCTGGCACCCGAACAAAAAGTCAAATATTATTATATTTAAGGTAGGTTCACCGTTACAGTGCAGCCTGACTGAAGCAGCACCTCCAAACGTTGATTTTATGAGTGCCTGCAGAGCTAATAGGAGAGGTGGAGACATCACTGCCCTGTTTAAAGATGTCTACAAGTGTCATTTAGGGACTGTTTGTCTATTGAATATCTGAGTATAGCACTAAAGGCTGCTCCACGCATTTCGCTGATCATTATCTACAGAAATCCAAAATATTCTCCAGCTGTTATTGATGATTTTACAGAAGTGTATTTCCAGCACATTGTAAAACAACTGAAATGCTGTTTTGGTCATACTAAACTGCCTCTTGCCAATGCCTGTTATTATTATTCCCTCCAGAACTGGCTTGCACTCCCAAAGAAGGTCTCACACCACAGCATTGTGTTTCGTCTTCTGAGGCACAACTCGTTTATTAGAGAACACAAATACCACAGTGGCGTCTCCTGCCGCACACAACTACATTGCTCTTACTCATATTTGTGCAAGTTTATCAGGAAGTTCTGATTTTCTTTTCTTTGAGAAAATCATTTAGCAAATTACAGTTTTGCGCATTAATCTAACTCACATATGTCAATGGAAACACAAGCTTTGTTTTAATGCATGGCAGGAGAGAATCTCATATATCTGCACAAGTCACTACAGGAGTTTATTAAAGCTTTATTGAGTAAAAAAAAACAGCCATACATTTCAAAGACATGACTTTTGAGTTACACAATAATAAGAGGAAGGAAACCCAGAAGAGATTTCCCTTTTAAAAGCTTCATCATGTTTCTAAGGCATTTGTTTGATCTTCATGCTGATGATTTTCATACTGACAGTGTGAGTGCCTTTCCAGGTGTACCAACAAACGCCAATGGCATGATGGGTGGCATCTTCTCCCCATAAATACACAGCGTTAGGGTTTGTAGTGTGACAGGATCCATACCAAAATGCCCCGAGAAACTCTTTAGCGCAGTTCTTGTCATATGTGTCTTGGTCTTTGTCAAAAGTGGAGAACTTCACACCATTATGGCCAGATAAAGAGTCGCCTGAGAGAAGAAGATCACTGAGGACAACATCTCAACAGAAATGAGTTTTAAGTAATGAAAGTGTTGTACCTGCTCCTCCATCAGTGAATCCAGAAACCTGCAGTTTATATCCTTCACATTCACAACCCACAGAGAAGGACGAGTACTGAGCGAAACCTCTCCTTCCTTCAAAGTCCTCCAGATCCACTCTCAGCATGAACTTCTTGTGGCGTGTCAGCTGGTAGAGGTTCTCTAGTCCTGTTTACATACAAACACACATGAAGAACGTGTTGAACCAAACACTGGACCTGAACATGCACACAGACGGATGTCAGATCTCACCCAGCCAGTATTCTCCCTCCACATTCCCGAATCCTCTCTTGTAGTCTCTCCACGGCCGATAGAAATTCACACTGCCGTCCATCCTCCTCTGAATCACCTGTGATGGGTTTATATATAATGTGTTATTCATCGTGTGTGTTCTGATGAGTGTTTATTATCTAAAGTCACACTCGTACCGTCCATCCTCCGTTCTCTTCATCTTTCCCATCTGAGAGCATCTGACAGTAAACCCAGACTGGAGTTTCCCCGGCTGGATAGATGGTGTAAACCCCACTGAGAGTTTCTCCTGATTTGTAGATGTCAGAACAGTCGAAGGGCATGGATGTACAGTCACTGGCCAAAGCAGCAGAGAGAAGCGTCGCCAAGAACAGCACGATCTAAAGTCATGAAGAAAGAAATCACCAATACGAGACAAAATGGCGTGTGTAAATGTGATCGTCACAAGGAATAAAACAGCCACAGAACTTACTGCCATCTTCTCACTCTCTCCTCAACAGCTCAGTTTATCTACAAGAGATGTAAAAGAGCTTCACTCACACCTTCTTATTGTTGCAGGTTATTTCTTCGTATAATCCCGCTCTACAGAATAAGTCACTCACCGTGTGTGTTCAGCTGGAAATAACTCAAACGCTCCTTTAAATAGCTGATGCTGAGTCTCGTGCTCTGTGTCAAAACCTGCTTGAGGCAATCCTCAAAAACCCAACAATCTGTTTTCACAACCGAAGAGTGAAAGGACAGCAGTTCTCGGTTCCGTTTTATGCCAAATCTGCAAACACAGACAAATGTTATGATAACCCCACCAAATAACCCTTTTCTGCAGAAGATAACAAACACACGATTCAACCTGCACAACACTAATGACTTTTTTCAAAACAACTATAAAACATTGGTTGGTTAAAAGCTTGGTTGAGGAGTAAAAGGACACAATGCAGAGATAGGTGCAATGTTAACCTGGAGTCTGAGCATTTACAAGACTCTAAATTCTCTAACACAAGAACCAGTCGAGTGTTCTCTTTGGGTTAACATTGACTGATTCAGCATACACAAGAATACCTGAAGTGACAGAGCTAATCAAATGGCGCAAGTTAAGAGCGAACACTAAGAATCTGGCTGTAAATCCACTCGATTTCTTAATATTTCTAATTTATATGGATGATCTGATTATCAGACATATCTGCATGTGTGAATCCCTCAGTGAAAAATTGTTTGCACTCTTTCACATCAGACCATTCTTAAGAGATCATACTGCACAACATTTAGTCCAAAAAGCTGGACTATTGCAATGCTCTTCTAGCTGGACTCCTGCCTTGCACCCATAAACCTCTACAGACAATCCAGAAAGCTGCAGCATATGTAATGTGATTTATTTGAACAGATGATGATCAGAAAAAAGTGTGCGTGATGCGACACATCAATGGACATTGCAGCATTTAATTCCAGCACACTGTAAAACATCTGAAATGTTGTTTTGCTTATTGTAAAATGCCTAAAAGTCTGTCATCACAGTGGTTCAGTATTATTATTATTATTATTACCTCCAGAACTGTCTTGAGCATCCCAAAGAGCGTCTCACTCCTTCAAAAGCCACAGCGTTGCATTTATTGTGTGTTGTCTTTGTCTCATTAGATGGACACTCTGCTTTATCCACAAATGCTTTATGCCCTTTTACAGTTTTGTACATTAATCCAGTTCCCATTATTTGAATGGAAACATGAGCTTTTGTTTCAAAGAATAGCAGGACACAATCTCATAAATCTGCATACAGGAGTTTATTAAAGCTTTAAAGTGAAAACAAAGAGAAAAATGTCATTACACCAACAGCCATACATTTCAGACTCGATTTTTCAGATACACATTTAAAAGAGAAGAGGTTTCCTTTTAAAAGCCCTGTTTCTAAGGCACTTGTTTGATCTTGATGCTGATGGTTTTCATACTGACCGCGTTATTCCCTTTCCAGCTGTACCAAGAAACGCCAATGGCATTGTGTGTGCTGCCTTCATGCCATAAATACACACCGTTGGGGTTTGCATTGTGACAGGCCGAGTACCAAAACGCACCAAGAAACTCTTTAGCGCAGTTCTTTTCATAGGTGTCTTGGTCTTTATCAAAAGTGGAGAACTTCATTCCATTATGGGTAGATACAGAGTCACCTGTAAGAAGAAGATCACAGAGGACAACATCTCAACAGAAATGAGTTATCTTGAGTGTGAATGAAGGTGTTGTACCTGCTCCTCCATCAGTGAATCCAGAAACCTGCAGTTTATATCCTTCACATTCACAACCCACAGAGAAGGACGAGTACTGAGCGAAACCTCTCCTTCCTTCAAAGTCCTCCAGATCCACTCTCAGCATGAACTTCTTGTGGCGGGTCAGCTGGTAGAGGTTCTCCAACCCTGTTTACACACACACATGAAGAATGTTGAACCAAACCCTGGACATGAACACTCACAGACGGATGTCAGATCTCACCCAGCCAGTATTCTCCCTCCACATTCCCGAATCCTCTCTTGTAGTCTCTCCACGGCCGATAGAAATTCACACTGCCGTCCATCCTCCTCTGAATCACCTGTGATGGGTTTATATATAATGTGTTATTCATTGTGTGTGTTCTGATGAGTGTTTGATTATCTAAAGTCACACTCGTACCGTCCATCCTCCGTTCTCTTCATCTTTCCCATCTGAGAGCATCTGACAGTAAACCCAGACTGGAGTTTCCCCGGCTGGATAGATGGTGTAAACCCCACTGAGAGTTTCTCCTGATTTGTAGATGTCAGAACAGTCGAAGGGCATGGATGTACAGTCACTGGCCAAAGCAGCAGAGAGAAGCGTCGCCAAGAACAGCACGATCTAAAGTCATGAAGAAAGAAATCACCAATACGAGACAAAATGGCGTGTGTAAATGTGATCGTCACAAGGAATAAAACAGCCACAGAACTTACTGCCATCTTCTCACTCTCTCCTCAACAGCTCAGTTTATCTACAAGAGATGTAAAAGAGCTTCACTCACACCTTCTTATTGTTGCAGGTTATTTCTTCGTATAATCCCGCTCTACAGAATAAGTCACTCACCGTGTGTGTTCAGCTGGAAATAACTCAAACGCTCCTTTAAATAGCTGATGCTGAGTCTCGTGCTCTGTGTCAAAATCTGCTTGAGGCAATCCTTAAAAACCCAACGATCTGTTTTCACAACCGAAGAGTGAAAGGACAGCAGTTCTCGGTTCCGTTTTATGCCAAATCTGTAAACGCAGACAAATGAACCCAATTGCAATGAACCCCCCAAATAACCCTTTTCTGCACAAGATAATAAACACATGATTCAACCTGCAGAACGAACAACCATCAAACAGAGCTTGGTTGGGACATAAAGAACACAATGCAGAATTAAGTGCAAAGTAAACCTGGAGTCTACATTCACAAGACTCCAAATTCACTAACACAAGAAGGAGCTTATCTTCATCTTTGTTTCATCTTCTCTAAAAAACACTCTAGTGAGGAGGAACTAGAGCAGTATGACATCGGCAACCATGAGGTCCTCACGATCAAGCCTAACCATCAGGAACTGCACTTTGACAATCAGCCACATTACTTTCTTCAACATGCCTCTCTCTGAAAAACTTCAGACCAATTTATACTTCTATGTCAAGTGCACAAGGTAGGTCCGGCATTCTGTTCACAGATTTGCACACTCTTCACCGTACCCTGATGTGCACTGCTCAGAAAGTGCCACTACACATTGTGACTGCCAACACAGAGCTCAAGATATGATTAGTCGGATTGGGCGCTGTGATGAGTGTGGGTGGGCAAACAGCCGTGGGGTTGGAGTAGGGTTAGGGGTGGGGTTGGGTGTGCATGTTAAAAGGTCTGTAGCATGTCCAGGATCACTGACTCTTTCAGACTAGAGGACGAACTGTCATACTTGCTACTGGACTGACGTTATAATAATGAATTTACATTCACTTGGTTCAGGTTAGTCTTGCAGGTTGTTTGGGTTTGCCAACAGAAAGCTAGGTCACTTTAAAGTGTCTGGTGTGAGCTGGTAACCCTGAGCATTCATCATTTACATCATTGAGTATTAACTTTTAACCTGAACTTGTGCATGATTTTGGGCATAAACCTGGGAATGAGACGGGTCCATTCACCAGTTGACCGAAAGAAACACAGGATCCATTCTGATGTTCTGGACGATTTGCCAACATACTCTTGCATGACATGTACATGATCACTAGTCAGTATCTCAACACTGTGCAGTGCAGAAGTGACTGAGATGACAGATGCTCTCACTGATAAAAACCTCTGCTGATGATGAAGACTGAAGTGAAGTAATTTTATTTTATTTAAAGTGTTAATCTTAAAAGAAGTTCAGATACATCCATTTTAAACGGCAGGGCGGAACCAGATTTCCTTCTTTGGGAACTGACTGAATTGTTGAGAGACAGGCATTGCGAACAAAATGAAGGGAGATTGGATGATTGAACGAGTAGAAATGAGACACACACTTACAGCCCCACTCTAGAAATACTGATAGCTCTGCTCCAAAGGAATGCCATGTAACCAGAAGTGAAAAAAAGTAGTTTAAATAAATAAATTATAAAATAAAAGGGAAGGTTGTGGTGTTTTATTAATTTTTATGAGGGCAAATGAATTTTTACTCAATAATGAAGTGCACAGACACATTATTTATACAAGCCACTCTACTATACATATGAAACGTAAAGTAAATTTTGATTTTGGTTACTCTAAGTCTAGTTTACTTAATGCACACTGTAAAACCCAACCGTCAACATTATTACATGAAATGAGTGTAGTGAACTTAAATTTTACTACAGTTAATTCTACTCGTTTGAAAAGAGTTTTGAGCTCAGTGTTGAAGGTAATGAGTTAATTAAATACTTCAGCTTAAATAGAGTAAGTTCACAGTACTCATATAGATTAGCTTTTTTTTAACTCAAATTGTTTATTGCAATCGGTTTCCTCAAATGGTTTGAGTTCCCTTAACTTATTAGCTTTTACAGTACTCAGTTGGTTGGGATTCTCTTCATTTATCGGGTTTTACTCGGGTGCTCAAATTGTGCTTCATTCACTCATATAGAGTAAGTTCACAGTACTCATATAGATTAGTTTTTAACTCAAATGGTTTATTGCAATCGGTTTCCTCAAATGGTTTGAGTTGCCTTAATTTATTGGCTTTTACAGTACTCAGTTGGTTGGGATTCACTTCATTTATCGGGTTTTACTCGGGTGCTCAAATTGTGCTTCATTCACTCAATTGGATTAAGTTCACAGCACTCATTGGGATTAGTTTTTGAACTTACAGTAAATGGTTTGTTGCAATCGGTTAAGTTGCCTTAACTTTGAGTATTTTGAAATTACTTGTAAAGTTTGTTTGATTTATCTTCAAAATTTTAAGGCATTACCATTTTTTTGTCTGAAATGTGCTCCTTCACTATGTGTTTTGACCAACAGAGGGTGCTGTCAGAACAGCTTCTTGTTGTTCATACAGAAATACACACCTGGCTCTATAGAGGCACTCTGTATTATCACACCTTTCTATTTTGTTTAAGCTACTGGCTGCTTTACATTCTTAAAAAACACATTCAATGCTGAGGAAATTGTAATTATCAGTGGCTTGTTTTAAATAGTTGCCAAAGTAATAGATGTCATTATTATTTAAAAACTATTAAAAATAACTAAAATATCAAAATGAAATTATAAATCATATAGACACACACAAAACACACAACCCAACTACCCAAAAACATTTAAAGT